AATTAGAATGAAAGCAGTTTTACTGTCTCTAAATAATGCAACATAATGAAATGCAGGAATGCAGAAAATAATAATCTTCTATTAATCACTGGAATACAATAAAAAACAAACTACTAACACCAAAGACAGGAAAGGGTAAACCTCGTGGCAAGAGGTGTTTTCCCTTGAGCCATACCTGCTCCTCTTCATCCTCCATTTCCTCATCCTTGTTCTCCTTCTTCTTGTTAAACACCTTTTCACGCTTCCACCGATCCCTGTTGTACAGCTGCCCCGTCTCTGGGTGCTGCTTCAGACCTGACAGTCTATAGACCAGGTCCTTGTCTGCACACTGTTTAAAGATGGGAGTGTCAAATTCATCATCAAACCAATCTCGCATTTACAAATCTTTGTCAGAATATGAACTTTCAACATGCAAATGTTTAAAAGGTTCATTTAAAAAGAAAAAAATATTGCTTAAAAACAATGAATCAATTGCTGCTTGATGTAATGCACAACTTTAAATACAAGACATGTGGGTTACCTTGATGTTGATGATGAAATCAGGTGTTAGCTTGAGGTTTTTGATCAGCTCAATCTGCTCAGGGATCTTCAGACACTCTTCTGACATGAATGGCAGGCAGCTCAGTACATATCCTGTTTTACAGCACATGTATTATCAAGTACAAGCATTGGCTGCGCTCTCATAGTTGTCTTTTTAATGACAGGTTGCTGTGCAATCTGCATATATGATTACTGTTCTGAAGCCAATAAAATAAACTTTGAGCTACACAATTTACCATAGTGCTCCACATCTGGTGAGTTAAGCCTGGCAAGAATCAGCTGGAGAACCATGTCTTCTGGTATACTTCTCCCCCCATATAAGATATTCAAGAGCTAAAATGGTCAGAGAAAGCAATTCACTGACCATAAATAATACATATAGGCTATGGAAAACGCATCATATATAAAACGGACAGTTAACCTTTCTGTCCTATGACATGAAATGATACTCACCTCTATGCCTTGCTTTGTTTTATTTTTAATGTGTGTGTTGAGCAGATCTGTGTCTGAAATATTATAAAAAGCTGATGAGAAATATCTGAATTATGTTAGGACAAAGACCAGGAATACAGCAAGTGTACTTACCATCAATTAAAATACACTTCCAGGACTCTGCAACTTTTTTGGCCAAAGTGGATTTGCCAACACCCTGCCACAAAGAATGCCACAAAATGAATATGGAGTCACATGGCGCATTATGACATGGAAGGTATTAGGGGGGCAAATTCTAGTGTTTGGGGGACCCAGCAATGTTCAGTGTTAACCTTACGCTACATTGTTATAGTTTAAACATGTATGACTTGATTTGATACTAAAGTCTCACAGAGAAATTACCGGTCTTCCAACTATGATGAAGCAGGTTGGTCTGGCAAGAAGACTCTCTTTCTCAGCTTCATCTTCTATTAGGTTGTCCACCAAACGGTCTGTTTTGAATATGGGAACACAGGGGGGATTAAAAGTCAGAGACATAAAAGTGAAAGACAGTAACGTTTTTTTTTCATTATCTGAGGACCTTAACTATTAAGTTAAGTTAAGTTCTCAAAATACCGATACAAATGTTAATTAGCCACAGTTAATTGCTGTCATAATTCAACAGAAGTTTACTTACTATTTATTTGGGGCATTCCTGTATCCTTTATTCCCCGTCGTAAGTTAACTAGCATTAACTAAGTGAGGTTATCTAGCTTGACGTAATCTTACGCTAGCTATCCTAGGCACCGAATACGGTTACCATAGCGACTAACAAACTAATGGGGGTTGGCTTTCCACATTGTAGTTAGCTAATGCTATCGCTAGGTACTGTATGGCTTTACAGTAGGTTTGCCACGGTAAGAGGTGTGTGTATTCTAAGTTATAAACAGCAATAAACACCTATTGCCGTGTCTGCGAGTGATAAGACAAGTGGCAAACACAAACACCGAATGCGACTATTATGAATCGCATTTTTATAGGCCTTCGAGCTTTTTGACTCTCTGAGGCATCGTATCAGTTGACATCGTGACAGTCACCTGACTAAAACAAATTCATGCAGCATTCTCCTATGCGGTAGCCATCAACACTTGGTCAGGTCAGACCAAATTAATGTTTAAAAGAAGTCCAAAGAAGTCATTTTGACTGCCAGCGGAGATGCACATTATCATCCCCGGAGAAGATTTGTGGCTAACTTAGCAAGCTAGCTAAATTAATGGTGAGTAACACTACTAGCTTGGAAATGCTGATGGCTAAAATACGATGCACATAGTTGCTATAAGTATCAGGATTAACTACGTATAGCATGTCTGTTTTGTGTTTTGTATGGTCCAGTATTGTGTTTTGTTTGCTTTGCAGCTCTTCTGTTGCCTCTTCTGGATTGTGACTGTTGGCAGGCTACAGAGATAAAAATGCCTCAGGCAGCAGGTATCATCAGCGGAATCCAGAGGATGATTCTGTATGAAACCAGAGCCGTAAGTCTGCCATGACCTTTATGCTGTTAATATCGCTGTCTCATCGTGCTTTCCCCAAACGTCTGATATCTCTGTTCATATGTTACACTTGCAATTTGCCAAGCCAAATTTTTTTTAATGAAATGACACATCTCTGTCATGTTAAAGTTACTTTTTGGCTCTCCTGATGCTTCCTGGTAAATTAGGTACCTTCATACAGTCTATGATTAGTTCATTCTACATAGACAAAGTGCTGTTTGTAAGAACAAGATGAGGGGGAAAAATCCAGTTGCACGTAAACAAACGAGTGGAGAAGACTGGAGACCTCCTGTAGGATTGTGATTACATGACAGCAGACACTAGATGGCAGCAAGCGAGTGTTAATTTACAGTACGGTTAATGTACAGTGTTCATTTTGACAAAAAATTTAAATGTATTTTTTTTTTTCCGTAGTTGCTTAGTGAAAATTGTAGTTGGTTTAAAGTCACATTTTAGTCTTGTCTAGAATTTTCTCAAGAGATAAGATAAGCCTTTATTTGTCTCACAGGTGAGAAATTTCAACATTACAGCAGCAAGTGGATAGCATGGAATAAAATAAAGTGATAAGTGACATTGAACATATTACTAACAGTATCAAAAATAAAGTATACAATTCTATAATTAAAAATGTTTTTACACCTATAAAACAAATTACCAAATATGAAACACTGCAAGTGACTATATGAATGTTGGCATGCTTTTCCTTGAGATTTTAAAACAGATAAAAACAAATTCCAATATTAACAAGGCAAAGTGACAATGTGCATAGATTTTCACTCAGTCTCTGAGTTGTTGTTACTGTTTAATGCTTAACAGTGCTGGTTATAAAGTCTCATGGCTGCAGGAAGAGAAGGCGTGGGTGTATCAGCCTGCCACTGAAGGAGCTGCTCAGTGATGTTAGTGATGCATGAAGGGGGCGGGACGAGGTCTCCAACATGGATGAGAGCTTGGCTCTCACTCTCCTCTCACCCACCACCCCTACTGGCTCAAGTGAGCATCCCAGGACAGAACCAGTTTGTTTAGCCTCTTCCTGTCTGCCATTGTAATGCTGCTACTCCAGCATACCACCCCAATGAAGATGGCTGACGCCACCACAGAGTCATATAAAGTCCTCAGGAGTGTACCCTGCACTCCAAAAGACCTTAGTCTCTTGAGCAGGAACAGTCTCTTCTGGCCCTTCTTGTAAAGGGCGTTAACAATGTCTTTACAGTCCAGTTTATTGTTAACCTGGAAACCAAGATACCTGTTGGAGTCCACAGTCTCAATGTCCACCCCCTGAATGTTCACAGGTACCGTGGAGACATGCTTACTCCTGCGGAAATCCACCACCAGCTCCTTAGTCTTTGCTGCATTGATAAGGAGGTGGTTTAGATTGCACCAGTCCACAAAGTCCGGATTCAGTTCTCTGTACACTCTGTCATCCCCATCAGAGATAAGACCAACGACGGCAGAGTCATCAGAGAACTTCTAGAGGAAGCAGTCTGAGGTGTTGAAGGTGAAAAGGAAGGGTGCCAACATTGTTCCTTGTGGAACCGCAGTGCTGCACACCACCTTGTAAGACTGACAGTCCTTAATCCTCACGAACTGTGGTCTGCTGGTGAGGTAGTCCAGGATCCAGGCTGAGAGGTGAAGGTCTACTCCAGCGTCCTCCAGTTTGTCTCTCTGCAGCGTAAGATCTTCTCCAATGAAAACTCCTCTTTGTGTTTCCTCATCTCCTGTTGAGCACTGTTGGCCATGGGTGGGTTTGACAGTGTGGAGGATGCCTACTTTTTGGACAAAAACCCAAATCGCGGCTGCTTTGAGGGTGGCGCCTCTTTAACGTCCTTCAATTATGCTTCCCGATCATCTTTATCCAACTCATCCTCCCCCTGTTTTGTTGATATTGTTGCACTGAGGACACATTTTTCTGCTTCATCAATAGTTCCTGGATCCATCATCTGTGTTTTCAATTAGAGCATCTCCAGCAGCTGTTGGGTCAAGAAAACAAGCAGCAGCTGCAAGTGGAGAGAACTTGGAATTAGGAAGCAGCTGAAGCATTGTTCCAGGATAACTTTGATTTTGTCTGCCAGACCATGCAGGTCTCTGTGATGATCCCAGAGAGAAATTGGAGTGGTGAGTGATCAAGTCCAGATAGGCTGGCGCAATCAAAGACAGAGACAGCGTATCACTTTAAAGTGATTTTTGAATGCTTAGCAAAGGGCCGCAAGAGATCTTGATCCATTCACTTGGCAGGAGTCAATCCCAACTTATCTCATCTTCAACTTGGGCCACAGAATCCTTCACTTGAAGAAAGTGTGAAACCATCTGAAATGTGCAGGACCATCTTGTCATACAGTCTTTAATGAGGGTAAGTCCACAGAGCTGGCTGGACTGAAGACCTGTGACACTCTTTGACATCTGCTTTCACCTTTTCCAAGAGACATCATGTTGACGACCCACTGTAATGTGTGAACAAAACAGGGTGTCTACTCCGCGCATCTATACTTCCATACCTGAGAACAGAGGACTTCATAATTATTTTAATATGGGCCATTACCATTATGGTCTTACCTTGCCTCCTCCTCAATCTCATTCTCATATTCTCCCTCACTCCTCTCATCCTCTTCTGAATTACTGGAAGAGCTAGGATCTTCTTTCTCTGGTCTGAATACAGCAACCATGTTGCTCCCTTTTATCTGTGATGACCATAAGAATCTTGTTTTCTGGTATTCCCCTCATTTCGGTGCACTGGTCAACACAAGCTTTAATAGAATTGGCAGTGTGTGGATGGGAGATCTTTTTGAGACTGAATAATATGTGTTGGTTGCTTCACAGTGCATGGGCAAGGAAGGAAACACTCCCACGGTTGTCCAAATTTGAATATACACAAGTCTACTTTGTTTTTGCATGACCTCCATACTATTATGGGTTTGCATGATTGTCAAGACAGTCAGAACAATTTGCCCGACTTGACAGGCAGTTGACAGAGACGTTATTGTGCATCCTTCTTTCCTATTTTCCTAATTGCATGTGGTTTGTTTTGCCAATGCATTTTCTCTCAATTTGTTAAACTACTGAAATTGCACCAGTGTTAAGCTGAAGGTGTGCTATAACGTGGCGTTTGATGGCTCTCATCATTAGTTACAACCATTTGGACAGTAAGGCAGAAGAACATTTGTCACAGTTAAGTTATCATAATCTGTTATTGAATGGTCCGCCTTTACTAAACAGCGGATGGCTTCATAGATCGGATACTTGGATGTGTGGAACAGGACAAAATGGCTCTAATGATTGCGGACTGCACTGATACAAGATGTTCCAATTTAACGCTCCTTGGTGGACATGAAATCCAAACCATTTCGCAACCCAGTGTGAAAAAAATTACTTGAAAGAAAAGTCATACCAGGAAGACACAGATCTTAATAAGGAACATATTACAATGTAACCTTGTGCTGTGGCCACATGTGCTCTGGACTGTGGCTACCCTTAAATCCAGTGTATATTCTCATATACGATTACATAAGATCAGATAATTGTTATTGTCCCTGAGGGGAAATTTGGCTTGGGCAGTAGTGCTACACAGAGCTTCAGTCAGCTAGTACAATACAAACAGTGGTACACCAAAGGCACATTAATGAATTGCGTGCAACCAAAAAATAAAAAGCATTCATGAAATCTTGCACATGCCTTGTGAGATGAAATATATGAATACATAGACCTTATAGAAATGAGGAATTAAATCCTAAAATCCATAATTCATAATGCATAGATAATAATGTGACTGGGTAGTGGATAAGCCACATGCCTTTGGTGTGTGAGACCTGGGTTCGATTCCTTCTGTAACATCTACCAATGTGTCCCAGAGCAAGACACTTAACCACAAATTGCTCCAGAGCCGTGCAACCTCTGACATATATAACAGTTGTAAGTCGCTTTGGATAAAAGCGTCAGCTAAATGCTGAATTATTTTACTTATTTATAACTAAAATGCAACAGTGCCTCCTCACTTATGAGACACTACATAAGTAACGATAGAGCTGGTTGTTTGTTGTGTTGTGTTATAGAAGTTGGGAGGGAAGAAAGCTTAAAGTGGTTGCTTTTACATTTTGCTAGCTCTATAATGTCTACCTGAAGGTAAATAATGAATCTTAGGAATATTTGATGTGTGAAGGGTCCTTCAGAATTTTGTTTGTGTGTCTGACAGTGCTTTCATAGATAGTGTGAAGGGACAGGAGTTCTTTCTTCCCTATTACTTCCAAAGCTGTTTGATGACTTCCTTGTTTTCCCTTTGTCTATAATATCACTGGCTTCTGATGCATTCATTTCTACTTGGAGGGCTCATTGTGGAGAGAAATTGTTGCACATTATAAGAAAAAAAGGCCTGAAGAATGTGAGACTTTAACAATGGGGCTGTACTGTAGAAAGCTGGCTTGTAATAACAAAGACTCCGTCTATTGACATTTGAAAACATGTCTTCTCTAAGACACATGATCCTATTGTGTTAAACCTTAAAATTGCTAATCGAATGTCATCCGTTAGAAAGCTTCTTCTGCTTGAAACAAGTATCCACAAAATGTTATGCAATCGCACAAGTGAAAGGAATACTAGTGTTTTCACTGTGCACATATTCCCTGAGGCATGTATGTAGGCTACATGGGGCATCTCTGCAGTCATTATTCATAGTTATAGTGCAGTCATTCCTTTATGTTTGTTTCCAGAGGTATTTTCTGGTGGGGACCAATCAGGCACAGACCAAACACAGAGTCCTGAAGATTGACCGCACAGAACCGAAAGACTTGGTCATCATAGACGATAAGGTAAGTACAGACTTTCGACCAGAGTTTGTAAAGTGCTAATGTATGTGCTTATGTAATACAGTAAAGCACGCTTGGGGTAAAATTGTACAATCACTCAGCCTCTACCAAGTGTATTGTGGATGACAGCTGAGCTGATGAGTGCTGAGCATACCTCCTTTTCTTCCCAACTGCTCATTACCAGGATCTATAAGCTGGGGGGTGATTTTGTTTGTTCTTGTTGTGGGTGATTATGATTATGATGTGTTTTGTTATTATGAAACATCCATGACTAAATATCCATCACCCCACCCTCTCATTCCTGCAGGTATTATACTGACCTCAGGAAACCGTGTTTGCTTTGCATTTGATTGGCATAGTGGAGTATTTTATAAACACAGTGTGGATGCTTGAGAATGTGATGAGGAAGTGGAGGTGAGCGGGTTTAAGGCTGGAAACGTAGCCTCATTATTCACTTTGTCTCAGTTCATATGTAAGCAAAGCTGGCACTCATAAAAGGCTGCAGAGAACTCCTGAGATTAATAAACATACAGCGAACTGAATACCCTTAATGATTGGTTTTTCATTAACTTTCTTTGGCTTATTGCATTTTGCAGAACTAATTTAATTCCATAAAGAGACAAAGAAATTCATACACGAGTACTGTAGCATGTATGGTACATTACTTTACTTCTGGATGAAGAAGCTTTCTGTGCAGATAGCTGTAGATAGCATGTAAAGGTTGATGGTCTTTTTGCATTTTGTCTTACGACTGAATAATGAAGAAAACACCGTTACTGTTTATTCATTACAATATTGCAGAAAGGATTTAAAGAACAGCAAATCTATTTTGTGTCTTAATTGCCTCACTGAGGATCAATCTAAAAGTCTTTTGTGGAAAATTTGGGGCCATTGATTAAACAAGGCCTGCTAGTCATTTACTTTTTATTGCATATATTCTATTGTACGAATCTCACTGGCTCTGAATTAAGTTATTAGTCGAAAATGTGTCCCCCATAAGCAGCAGCTTTTCTTAAATAAGTAAAGTAACAGAAACTGCTTACAGCTTTATTTGTGTGTGTGTGTGTGTGTGTCTATAGCATGTGTACAACCAGCAAGAGGTTCGGGAGTTGCTGGGCCGCCTGGACCTGGGCAACCGCACCAAGATTGGCCAAAAGGGTTCCTCTGGCCTGTCCAGGGCTGTTTCAGCCTTTGGCATTGTGGGTGAGTACAGTCCCTCCACTCTCTTCCTCACTGGCACAGCAACAACCATTGTGGGGCACAGTGAAAGCAAAATGCACCTCCTCTTAAGTTCCACAGTTGTGTGTGTTTGACCTGGTTTTGCAAATTAAGTGCTGGAGATGGAAAACCATAACATAAAAGGAACATCTGGCAGTATAATGTAATTTGCTTCAATATGCTACTACCACTGCTGCTACCTTTGGAAAGCTTATAATGTTCAATTTTCAGGTTTCAAATCATGACCATCAGTGGTGTATTCAGAAGCAGCAAGAAGCTTTTTCACATTTTAATTACTTTCCCTTTCCTTCTGTAGAAAGGATAAAGTCAGGTTAAAAGAAACTTTAACAATATTGTTGAGAGTTGCCTATTACTCTAGTTGTGATGTACATTGCCTATAAAAATTGTATCTTACATTGTTGTTAATTCATATCATTTAGTCAGGATCTGTTTTCATTTGGGCATTAAAGGGTCTTTTCTGGGTCAGAAAAGCCACATGAAATCCCCTCTTATTCAATGTAATAATAATAATAATTATTATTATTATTAAAAATTCCAAGGGAGATGAATACTTTAAATAGGCACTGTATTTTAATATACAAATGAACTGTGTTGTATTATTTAAAAATAACCTTGACATTCAACACTTTTTAATTTCAGCATTTCCATTAGTGTTGAATAAACAGGGTGAGCAATGTAATTAAAAAACTGTTAATAACATCAATCATTCTTGAGCATTGTTGGGCAGTAACGCGTTACTGTAATAATATTACTTTTCCCAGTAACTAAGTAGTGTAACTAAAACTGTTTCTAAAACAGTAATATTCTTACTAGTTACTAATGCATGTAACGCTGCGTTACTCGTTACTGAACGCACCATCCTTGACGTGAATCCACGACTGTGCGGCAGGTCAGTGGCACCTGACTTGAAGAAAGAAGAATGAGGGAGAGAGGTGTTCTTTCCACAGCTGTAAGTAGCTACTGCCATTAGCAATGTTTCCCATAATTAGCCTATAATTTGGATAATTATCAACACTGCCCGCCACAAATTTAAAAAAAATTTTTTTTTACTAAGCATATTTAAAATCATATTTGATTGAGGAGCATATATTCGTGCAGCACCTCCTGGTGCTCTCTCTCTCGCTCGCTCGCTCGTGCGCGCGCTCTGCACAAACATGTCCAAAATTAGAATACCGCCCCCGTCATTCTGTGGGAAACACTGGAAAGTCCTATAGTAACGTAACTAGTTACTTTTATCATCAAGTGATAAGTAAAGTAATAATATTACTTTAAGTAGCAATAAGTAACTACTAGTAATATATTACAATTTCTGAGTAACTTGCCCAACACTGTCATTTTGGAGGGAAAAAAGCTCACATCCTCTGTGCCTGTGCTTTGGACATTGCCCTACAAACCTAGTTTCAACTTAGTACAATCATAAAGCTTGTTTAAAGCTTTTATAGTGTCTCTTTTCTGGCCTTTTGTTAACCCAAGACATGGAACACGGGTCACTCTGATTTTTTTCAGATCAAATTTTTCTCTCTGTCTATGAAAGCTAATGTTTGTTACATGACAAGTTTGTGTAACTGAGCACTTGTAGGTGACTCTGTACGTCCCAGTTGCTGTATGGAAAGTAACTGGTGTGACAGAAAGCAGTGAGTTTCACGTACGTGCTGCATGACCAGTCAAGTCCAGACCTACGTTTCGTGTTAACATACGTTCTAATACGCACAAAAGAAAAGGGTTTGAATTTTTCCCAGAAACCTGTCTTGGTGATTTAATCAGGACTCTTCATTATTGATCCTTGATATTTTCCCTGTAATGTGTTTTGCTTCTCTGTCCTGATTGTATGTAATTTGTCTTTCAAAGCTTTTGTGAGAAAACAACTGCGGACATTTGGGATTTTGGTAGATTTCTGCATGTATTGCTCCTTCAAAAGAATCATGCATGTGACAGTAATTAGTAAACACTATCTATTCAAGCATATTTCATCAGTGAATTAACAGCACTTTTATTCTTTGGGCCCTTAGAAATCCAAGATCTGGCAATTGCTAGAATGCATGTTTCCTTATTTCTGCAAAACAAGAAAATCGAAAGAACGCTTTTTTGATTTATTTTCAATTTCTGCCCTTTTCAAACAAATAATCCAATCCAATACCACTTTAATGAGCTAGAATCAAATGAAACCAAACTTTGACCTCAATGAACCAACTTTTTTCCAAAGATGTTACTGTCTAATGACACCTATTTCTCCCCAACAATGACGCTGATTAAAATGCAGACGTGATAAGATTGTGCAAACCTTTCCTTCTGTCATGTCACACTGCTACCAGCACGACCAAACCAGCCAATTAACATAAAAACATGTATAATACGTTTTAGTGTCTACAGCCACGCTAGCATCTCTGTGATACTGTACTTCACCGTGTTGATTTGAGCTCAGTGGTCAATTTAATGCTAACATGCAGATGTTTAGCAAAACTATATGTTTAACATTTTCCCCAAGTTAGTTTAAAGCAACACTTGGTAACAAATGAACATACAATGTAAAACCTTGCTCTCTCTGCTGCTCGTACCATTCCGCTAAGCCCCGCCGCCAAACACACAAGAACGAGCTGGTTGCCCTGCAAAACCTCAGCCCGAGTGGGTTCACTCACCCCAGAGAGAGTCTCCCCAAGAACCCGGCCGCTCTCGCTAATCTTCTCAAAGAAGCTCATTCAACGCTTTGCAGCCCAGGGCAGAGCACCCCAGGCTTCAGAGGCAGCTGTGAAAATGTCTAGCAGCGAGATGAGAAGCTAGTTACACCACTGTCCCTCTCAAAAGTTATTCCCCACTGTTTGTTGTCATGCCTCTTTGCCACTTGTGGATACAAACTGCTGAGGATATTGAGCTTGACTGAGAACATGCGCGAGGGGGGGGGGCAGCGAAGCGAGTGTACAAGCAGTGACAGACACTGCTCCTGGCTCTGATTGGTCATTTTGAACTGGGGTAGTGGTTTCTAGCAATTGGCATTAGGAGCAGAAGGAGGAGCCAGAGGAATCAAAAAATATTTCCACAGATTATTTGTCTTATGTAATACGTTCAGGATATAATGAGAATTTTAGTAAATATGACAAAGAAAGTAATGTTTAAAAGACTTCCCTACGACAGCTTTAACAAAACCACAAAAATTAACATCTAGGGAAAAGTCAGGGGCTCACTAAAGTCAGTGGGTTTCTTCCTCTGGAGACCATGAATGTCATGGCAATCTCCACTAGTGAGATATTCCTGTCTCGACCAAAGTGGTGGACCTGCTGACTGACAGACTGACCTTGCCATCTATGGAGCAACGGCGCTAGTGTGGCTATAAATACATTACAACTACAACAGTCTTGTAACTTATCTTACAGTCTCTTCTGCTTTCCAGTTCATCCTCTGTGTGTATCGGGCGGTTTACACTACCATTTCTGGATAAGAAAGATGCTAGCAATTGTCAAGTAATATTGGCGAGGCCCTTTCAGGGCATAATAGTAACCCATCTAAGATAATTTAGCGTCATCGTTGAGGATGTAGATGGGTCGGTCACACTGACACAGACAGATTCTGACTTTGACGTCTGCTTAAATCAATGAGATGTTTTTTTTTTCCCATTGTGTGCTAATGCCATCTTTTTACACAAGCCGCAATTTGCCAAAGTCACCGTGTTACATGGAATAAAAGAGTGATGCAGCTATGTAGGTTACTGTATATCTGAGCAGGGTTAGACTTAGACCTGTGTCAAATGTTAGTTGTTAGTTTCATATTTAGTCAACCTCATCAATTTTTTCACCGCACTGTTTTTCATTGTTCCCAATGCATTCGGTGGACCCTTCAGGTCTTTGGCAAATGGGAGTGTAATTGGTCCGTAACAGACAGTTCGTTAGAGTAGGAACACCTGTAAAATGGCTAAGATATATTGACCTTCAGTCCCTAGTATGAGTCAACCTCCAACAACACTGGATACTACACTTCCCATAATGCAACTTCACAATTATTTTTCATTGTGTCACATTCATGTCATATCAGAGTAACTGTAATTACCCATTTCCAACTTGTAAGTAGCACCCAGATCCTACTTGACACGTTATATGTAACAACCTCAAAACCAAACAAACATAGTTGTTTCATGTGAGCCAAAGTCTTTCGTTCAGTGTATTTAAACCCAAATTTAATCAATGTCTGTTTTCCGGTGTTGGGGAGTGCTACTGCTACACTTTTGTGTCTCCAAGGGGAGCTGTGTGAAGTCTGATAAATTGCCTCAAGTGATGTCACTTGAGTCAGCATTGTTGGGGCTGAAGTTTGAAAATGATATACATCTGGGGATGTGGAGATAGAGAAAAGTGAGCTTACCAGATCTCTGTTGCCCACTAATCAGGTTTTGACGAGGAAGAAGAATACATGGAATAAAAAAGACGATATCTCTGGTTGTGCTGCATCGATTTTGATCTTTGAACTGTCCATCATGAGTCTGACAGTGGTTTAGGAACGCAGTGCTAGATTAGTGGAGTACTCTTTTTAATAACATGGTGATGTATTAGAAATACACACATTTTAAACTCTCAAACCCTCTCGAGTTGTCTGCTAGTGTATACATGGAAATCTCTACCATCCATTAAATAAGATGTGAATGCAGCATTAGACCCTCCCTCCACTGCTTTCAAACTCCATGCCCCCAGATGGTAATGCAGGCTTTCTGGTAAAAGAAAGTTCTTAGATTTAAGAATGCTCTCTTAAGAGCTGCGTAACACGTACCATTCACAGGCTGAGTAGTATTCCCTGTCACTAGTAAATTACCGTGAACAACGTGAGTGGAGTGCTAATTTAACTTAACTGCCACCACTTGTTGCAGTGGCACACATACAGTCCATTAGATGCATAAACTATACTTTTACTTATATTGTTCCAATTGATAAAAAAGCACATTGATTGACAAATTTTGGAAGCATGAAGGAGGAAACTGAAATATTTAACCTTGAGTTTACATCTGTATGCACCTGCATTTGCAGCTCTCTTGTGTGGAAACATAATATGAACCTCTTTACCTTCACTAGTCAGCTTACAGCACATTAATACTGGGGCACTAATCAGTTGCAAAATTGCATTTGTGACACTTCGTCTGTCAATAGATTTGCTTGAGCAGTAATACACTAAAATGAAAGCATATATCTAGCAGACACTCTTATATGAACTAATAATATTCTTTTACTGTTAAAAAAACACAGACATCACCCACAACCATCTATCATGTACTGAATGTCACAGATGAGAAAATAGCTCATCAAAAGCTGAAAGCAAATCATTGTTGTGTTGTGTGATACTTTCTGGGTCAGATTTTAATTATGTAAGAGTACAAGGATTGGTGTGTATAGGTAATTTAGTGATGTATGACACCCAAACACTGATGATCCACCTCCACAAACTGAGTTGCTCAGTTGTTTGACGCCAGCAGAAAGGTTGACCTATATATCAGCTTACTCAGAGTTTTTTTTTTTTTCAGTGGTATCATATGAATATCTCAGGTTATGTCAGTGGTAAGGTGGAGTAGGGTAGTTGCTTTTGATTGGTTTATTCTAAAAGATTTTAAAATAGTATTTTATTTTTTTCTCGACAGGGTTTGTACGTTTCCTCGAGGGTTACTACATTGTGTTGATCACCAAGCGTCGAAAGATGGCCGACATCGGTGGCCACTCCATCTACAAAATTGAAGACACCAGCATGATCTACATCCCCAATGACTCGGTCAGAGCAACACATCCTGATGAAGCCAGGTACTAATTTTTTTAAGAATCCGACAGTTTGAGGTAAAAGGCACCTATGTCTGAATGACAAAAAGCCATCACTTTAACTTAGATAAAGCAAGGGAATGTATTCTATGTCTTAAAAGAGCTTGTGACTCTTTGTCCATTGAAACTTGTCTTCCCTTGGTCAAAAGTGAAGATTAAAAGTTTTTTGGCAAATGTAGCAGCATTCAACACGGAAGCATTTATGTAGAACTCCAATAGAAAATCAGTTTTTATGAACTTTCCAACATTCCCTTAAAGTATGAAATGAAGGGAAATTGTAAGATTAGTAAAAAATTATACACCTACTTAGATAAGTTGTTGTACAGTTTGGTTTATATGAGTCTGCAACATGCATCGCTTTCACATTAATAATTCTACAAAATTTACAGAATCATGTTGGCACATCGACTAATCTTATAAAAGCTTAATAACTTTGATCTGTCGATTTCTTTTTTCTGATACATAAGATACGTGCGGATCTTTCAGAACGTGGACCTGTCCAGCAACTTCTACTTCAGGTAAGAAAAATATTCTCACAAAAAACGAGAACAAAAAGAACATTTACGGTGCCATTTATACACCAGCAAGGTTTTAACATTTTAAGTTTTAACCCTCATCAGTGAGTTATATTTTTCGCCCAGTTTGTTTGCAGCATATCTGAAAAACATGGGTACTGATTTGACCAAAGTTCGGTGCAAATATAGGCCATGTTTCAAGGAGAGAGTGACTGTTCAGAAATTTGGTGATAATTTCTTAATGTTGCGGTTCTAGACATTTTTTAAATCTATTTTTCAACTACTAGTTGAATTGAATTTTTTTTTATAAAGAGTAGCATATGCACAACTGGTTAGCTTTCTGGGATCCAGATTGTTTTTATATAGAATGGAAAAAGAATAATAAAGTATGGAATGAAAAGTTTGATTTCTTCAAGATGTCATAAATTCAACACAAGGCAGCCACGTGTTATGATGCCCAAGACTTACATTAGGCCTAGTAACATCTAAAAATAGCTTTGGTTTGTTTGACCTTCATTTTCCTCTTTTCTAACTCTACAAGTGTGCCCTTGGTTGTCACGAGGAGTCTGCACACAGTCAGAAGAATTGATTGAATGTTTCAGTGAGAAGTTTTCATGTCTTCCATGTGAATTTGTTGAATTTTTAAGACAGAATTTTCTGAGCAACTAAGGATTTTTTTTTAGGTTTAATATTGCATGTATCCTACTATACATGCATATTTAGTCTAACAAAAGCTAGCATTTTTCCATCTTGTCTGACATGAAACACATTTGAGATTTCCAATTGTACAATGTGTGGTGGAATTGTTTTAACCTCTAATTCTGTAGTTTGACTGAATCTTAAATACATTATGTGACAGTACTTGCTGTACTTGTTTTAAATGATAATGCCGTTGTACCCTGCAGCTACAGCTATGACCTGAGTCATTCTCTGCAGTACAACCTGACTTTGCTGCAGAGGCCATTTGAACTTTGGTCATCACCAGAATCGTCAGCTGAGGAAGAGGTACACACACAGAGCAAGCAGGACAGCTTTGACATCTTTGAAGAAGAGGGTTTGCCTACGCAAGGTGAACAAAAGTTAATCAGCATCCCTTACTTTACTTTTGTTTGTTCTATTTGCTGGAGACCTCCTAAGACCTGGGCCAGAGTGAACAGGCTGGATGTAGCTTTCACTCAGATTTATTACTGATGTTCAATAAACTTGTAACTTATACTTGTTGTAACTAAAAAAGCAGTGAAGTTGAGAAAAGGGTTTGAAGTTTTCTGACTGGCTGTCAAATGTCATAACATATTTAAAAATTTCCTGCATTCCTGGACAAAATCACTTGCCTAGGATCAAAGATGGTGAGAGCAGCTGATGTTGGGGAGTGTAGCCAAATGCGTGCTAAATTATTGTTGATGCTGTCAAAAACTCTCCAACCTCTTTGCAACCAGAAGCTTTGGCTTTTTTAGCCAGGGGTGAGCAAAGTAACATAGGCCTATTCAGATCCTTTAAAAAATAAATAAAAGTACATACTGTAAAAATGCTCTGCAGGAAGGCCTACTGCACTGAAAAAGTTAAGTAAAGGTATGTAAGTAGGCTATAAGCTGGAAAATGTAGAAGTGGCCAATTAAAAATAAAATTAGCCTACTCAAAGCAGAAAGAAAAATGTCCCATATGTTATACTATCATATATTATATCATTAGATTATTATTCCTCATGCATTAATGTAGTTGGTTGGTTGGTTATTTTGTATCAGACTGCAATTGATGATTATTTTTATTTTAATCAACTAATTATTTTCTCCATTAATCGATTGTAATAAATTCTGAAAATAGTGAGAAATGTTGTCACAGTTCTCTAAGTGACACCTTCACAATGCTTGTTTTGTCAGTCCAAACCTCAAAATGATTAAAAATACATTAAAATAATCAAGTAAAAGCAGCAAATCTTCACATTTGTGAAGCTGGAACCGTGAAATGTTTTTACATAAAAATACCAAAACAGTTGCCAATTAAATTTCTGTCAATTAGCCTAACTGATGTAGTTCTACTAGCTGGACTTAAGTAATTTAATTTATATCAAAACATCCTATTTTTTAAACTCTTCATACGTTTTGTGTGTAAAAAGCTCATTTTTTAAAGTAACTAGTAACTGAAGCTGTCAGATAAAGTAAAACGTAGCTACAATATTTCCCTTTGAGATGTAAAATGTGCAACAAACAATTACAACACAACACAAAACACCATTCATTACCTGAAACGTGAAGCCTACTCACACATACAGCTTGGTGTATGCATAGGACAATTTCTGCCATCCTACTGTAGGCCTATGTGTACAGCACTGCTGTTCAGTGGGTTCATTTGGGGCCAAATTTCTTTTTAGTTTTGATCCATTTGTATTTTTGAAATATAAGTATTTATATTTAAATTGTCTTTTATCAGATCTACCTATTGTTAACTTTATATTTGTTCGGGTCAGTTATTAACTATAGGTAAAATCTAACTGCTTCTCTCACTCTAAACTTTTGATAAAACTTGAGAGCCCTGGGTGAAAAGCTGAGATGGCAGCTATTAAAATCTGCCTAAGTTAATTACCCTTTTTGGGAGTTTAGCTAGCTTTTTTTCTTCATCTCGACTGGTTTTAGCTCTCACGTCATTTAGTTAAGCTCTTCTTTGTTACGTGGAATAACTAACTGAAGTACCAAGATTCAAGCTCATCAAAACTGATATTTTTCAATTACAATAACAGCTAGGGATTGTGCTTTACTTTTAGCCAGGCTAGCTATGGAATTATTAGCTAGCTTTTGCTTGATAATGCTAGTGGGCTCTCTTGCTTCAGCTGTATTTGCTGTTGATCTATAGTTTTTTGCTCTGTTTTGTTGTTGTTGCAAATTTAAGCACATTTCTATGGCACGATTAACTTTAATATAATAGATATCAAAAGCGATTAGGTTTAATGTTAAATTTGACCAGATATGTAGCTCTGTGTTTTGCCTGTGTAGTGAATAAGCCTATTCCTATAATAAATTAAATATAATGTTAGTGTAATTGTTTTTCCTGTTGCTGTATGAAAAGTGGACTTTCACTGATATGATCGCCACAGTCAGAGGCGTCAGTTATCTGTTTTACTGCATGTTTGCCTGTTTTGTTGAAGTCCACTGAATTAACTAAATTCATTTTGCCTTGCCTAATGTGTTCTATGATTTCTGACGTAAAGTATAAAGTAATACAACAACATAAGCTTAATCCCAAGTTACAGCAACTTGATATGAACGTTTCTAAATATACTCTTGTTCCACAGCCTGCGTCACCTTAGCTTTTTTCCATTTCTAGATGATAATTCGGTCTGACCCAGTAAAACGATCCAGAGGTTTTACATGTGTTCCTTCTCTTCCGCCACAGTGGTTTACGGCATCCAGAACGAGCCGTACTACAAGTACGTGTGGAATGGGAAGCTGCTGGACCGAGTCAAGGACATAGTGCATCATGACTGGCTCATGTATATAATCCACGGCTTTTGTGGCCAGTCCAGTATCCTTTGAGTATTGTTAAGTACCTTTTGTTTTTACGTTATTATTAATGTGTGTTTTTTTTTAATTGGCATTATCCCCTTGTTGCCTTTGGGTTTTAAAATAAACTTGTGTGAGCCATGCAGACCTTGGAGCTTTGTGGGGACATCTATCAGCATTCACTGATTTGATCACACTAGTAGAAGATGCAATGCAACTGTATCTCTCACAATGTCATCCTTTGTCAGTACTCCCCCTCTTCGTCTCTCAGCCTCAACATAACTTGTTGAACTGTTCACGGCTTCCATCAGAGCACGTGGATTGCACTGTGAGCAAGAGTGTGTGATTCACCACAAAACTGCAGAAGCAATTTGTGTTTGTTTTTAGGGCTTTAGCAAAACAAGTATTATGGTAATTAAGCAACGGTCACCAGGTATGTAAACACTGGCACTTGCATAATCTCGCCATCTGTTATCTGCAGGAAGAAAGCAGCAACATTGTGCATATTTAATCAGACAAGCAACACAGTTTTTCTTTTTGGGTTGAAGACAAAACTCATGTTTGTACATGCATACATGTTTGTTTGAATGTTTTTCACTTTGAATTCAGTGCTTCTGTAGCTTCTGCTAGTTTTGAGAAGCTTTTGTAGTATTGATGCATGGGTTACTGCTGCAGAGGGGCTTTGGACTTGACTAGAGCAGAGTAAACAGTCTGATTTACTATGGTAGAAATCTGCCTTAGGTTCAGTCATTTACCATCAAGTCTCCTTTGCATAAATTACATTAAGCGGTCTAAAATATGTTGCCTTTTTGCCTTTTAGTCAAAAAAAATACAATTATATATCATAGTTTTTATCAGTAATTAAAACTAGGTTTTGTGTTCAGGCTGATAAACTAAGGTGCATTTTACAGTCAGTGCTTCTACACTGTTGTCTCTCTTATCAGGCTGGGTGCTGTCGCAGTGAAATTGTGTGGGCGCTTTGAGTTTAGACAATTCCTGGAAACCGTTTGGCCTTCAGTGCTGTTTTTCTGAGAGCATGAGAGGACTGATGGGTGCAATAATATGAGACTCGGCGGATAGCGCAAATGCAGAAATTTGTAGTGAGGAGAAAAAGACATTCTGCGTCATTAAAATAAAACAACTTTTGTAGGATTTATTCATTCGTTTTTTTCCAAAATGTTCATACTGTACATAAGAACAAACATTGTATTTAAGCTGGATCTTGCATATCTATGTATGCGTGTGTATACATACATAGTATATGTATGTAACTTGCTGTACTTGGGTAATAACATAACATGCTTTTCACGAATAACTGATATAATTTAAATTCTTACATACCTGAGTGACACCTCAGACTGCAGCACAACGTCTTCATGGGTTTGCTTTTTATTTATTTATTTATTTATTTACTTGCATGTACTTTTGAGTTGATTAAGGATATATCAGTATTATAAATATTTTAATGGTGCTTTTGTTTATTTTCCACTGATTTAAGATGCAAAATAATCATTTCTGAATAAGGACAAATACAAGACTATGGTTTAGGTGGGAAGTACTATAGTGTGTGTGTGTGTGTGTGTGTGTGTAAACACGTGATTGTTTGATGTATTATTGTCATTATTCCGCCTTTACCCACCAAATACAGAGCTTCTGATCTACGGCCGACCAGTTCACATCACCCTCATTGCCAGGCGCTCCAGCAAATTTGCCGGGACCCGCTTCCTCAAAAGAGGAGCCAACTGCGAGGTACAGCGGTTGCCGAGGCAACAGGGAAGAATAGATGGTGGAGGCAGGGCTTAGTGCCCGCGGGATGATTGGGATGACTCAGGTTGATCACAGGGAATTAATTTGACCCGCTGCCTCTTCCTTGAGAATGCATGAGTGTCCGTGTGGGTGTGTGGTGGGCAGAGGGAAGAACTGTTGGAGCAAACATAGATTTCCTCTTTCTATTTGGACTGCTAATCTGATATTAGGTTGGATGCAGTTTTCACAGGTTCCCGCTTCATTGCCATGTAAAGTAGTCGTTTTATACAAAATTATAACTTTTTCATTGTAGCATACTGTTTAATTGGCTTTTATCACAACAGGCTGACTTGTCATAGCAGGAAAAGTACAGGTGTAATGAATATTGTTATTAATGGCTCTGTTCCATTTAGGTGTATCAGTAAGCTAAAGAGAGTGCAGCCCTTACTAATATTATTAATTATCCTGCTGTGTCTGCTGTGAAAGTGCAGATTTACTTGATGATCAAAAGGCCAGAACAGTGCTTTTTACCATTTACTATTATTTTCTTTTTCCATTTTTCCTGATCATGTATGGCAAATGTTCAGTGTTTAATATTTAGGAGGATATATTGACAGAAATGCAATATAATATCCATAACTATGTTTTCAGTTGTGTATAAACACCTTACATAATGAACCGTAGTTGTTTTTATTACCGTAGCCATTTCTATCTACATACACCGCAGGTCCCCTTACATGGACGTCGCCATGTTGTGGCGCCATGTTTCTACAGTAACCCAAAAGGACAAACTGCACAACAGAGCACATTTCGTCACTACGTTGAATATGTACGTAGAAGAAGTAACATTAGAAGTAGTAGTAGTTGACTAGAAGTAAGAAAAGAAGAGAAATTTGGACAAATGGAGGCCTACACGTATTATTTAACACGAGAACCAACAGCGCATGCCGGTCACCATCGCTTCTCCATAGCGCTTGCGACGGGAGGGGCTTTTTTTCCTCCCTAAATATTTATTGCAAAAAGACAAATAAAGTGTACATGGGAAACCAATAAGTATTTAGGAATTTGATTCGTGCAAAATACATGATGCATTACATATTTTGCAAACATGTAATTTGTAATATGGTTATAACCAGAGCTTAACATTAACTTTTTTGCTCACTAGCCAATGTGGCTAGTGGTTTTCTAAAGTTACTAGCCACACAGTGTTTCACTAGCCACAATTTTGTTGTTGGGAAATTACATTTTATATGATTAAAGCTGAATATGGCGTGCTAAAATGTACTAATATTATCATTAGCTCTGATAAGGTTGTGTGTAAAGCTCCTTTTTTGAAAACATGTAGTCTATTAAGATAAACACATTAAATCTTCTTATTGTATATAATAAAAGTGCTGCATGGGTGTAGAAGATTAATTAAAAAATTCAACAGCAGTTGGCAAAATATTGTAATGCAGAGTAGAAAATGATCTGCATTAGAAACAATTAAGGCAACAGGATTAAAACTTTATAAAGGCCTATATCATTTTTGTGCACCTTTTGAATTGTTTGTGCATCTGCATTTCCTCAGAGCTCTTACTGGATATATGTTTATCATCATGAAGCTCTGGTAGCTCTGAGTAACTGGAGATACTTTCACCTGAAATGAGTATACAGGTCTTTATTTTACAGATTATTCCCATACAAACGCATCTCCTGCTTTCCTACAGGGTGTGATTACTTTTATTAAAACATAGAATCAAGTCTAGAAAGGTAGTTGACGATATGATGTCAGAATATGAATCAGCTTACAAGGATACAAGGCCATACAAGGAATTTGACTCGGATTGTACATTTCTCAAGATTTGCTTACTTGTACAATAATACAATAATAAAGTCAGACTACAGTATAGAGAACACATATATACACATGCTTACTGTTTTATTTATGTATTTTATTTTTAATATGTATATTTTTTTTACACACATACGCTTTGATTACTTTACACTTGAATTACTTGTTTAATGAATTGTATGGGGTTGATTGTTCTTATGTTGTATGTATGATGCTTTGGCAATATTGTTGTTACACATTCATGCCAATAAAGCTAATTTGAATTTACACACTATAAACAAAAACAATATAGACAGATTGAGACAATAGTGCAATGAGCAGAGTGCAAAGAATGCAGGAGTAATGTAAGGAGATCATCAATATCAATGAGAAACATCTACAATTCCATGACAATATAGCAAACACCATCTGCTGATGAAGACCATGTAATTTGATGGAAAACTCCAGAACAGCTGCTAAATGGACCTTGTAGTAAGATTGTTTTCTCAACCTTGTTCTTGGTTTCTTTGTGTTTTTCTGTTGTTTCCAGGGGGATGTGGCTAATGAGGTTGAGACCGAGCAGATCGTCCATGACGCCTCAGTTATGTCATTCACTGCAGGAAGTTACTCATCATACGTCCAGGTGCGAGGTTCAGTCCCGCTGTACTGGTCCCAGGACATTTCCACCATGATGCCAAAACCCCCAATACGATGTAAGACACCAAATGTATTTTTTACTTTGTACATTAACAGCTTGTCCACTAGAATAATTGGTTTGATATATCAAACATCATGCGTTGTTTTTTATTGTATGTTTTCTTAAAAAAATGGTATCATGGCCTGGATTATTGATGGGCTTTGTGCTTCTTAAGGTGCCCAACATCTGTTTATAATGGAAAAGATAGAGAGTTGGCTTTGATGGAACATCTTTCTCATATCTACTTATACATAAAGACAGATTACAAATGAAAGATACAGATGTATCCTCTTTGAGTGGTTAGCCATTCAGTACCACAGTAGGGATTTAAGTTTTTATGTATATAAAGCCCAATGTATTCATTCAAGCAGCTGTTCCAGGACAGGACCAGTAATAGCCTTGTACTGGTGGAGGAAGAATGTAATTGGAAAAACTGCATTTAAATAAGAGAGTTACTTTATGCCAGGGCCATTCTTCTCAACCACTGGGACAAAGCTTAAAAAAATAAAAATGAAGTAGGTGAAGGCAGGACGCCCCCCTCTTGGTTTTCTTTGTATCCATTCTCTTGTGTCATTATGAGCAGGATAAAAACACAAATCCAGGGCCAGAGGGAGGTGATCAGGTCGCTGAGTCTTATGACACTGGAAACTGCTGTGTGTGTTTCTGGTGTGTGTGTGTATACACAGGAAGTCAGTGGTGCTTGCATGTGTACAATGCCTGTATTAAATCATAACACCCTCCTCAGTTTGCCCTTTAATTTATCCTAAGATGACATTCACTTGTGTGAGACAGAGATACTGAGCGTGTCCCTAAGATCCCTCTGTGTCTCATCATCCTGCTCCCACTTTGATCCTTACAGACAGTCCTTATCTGACATTTCCCAAATGATGGCCAGTTCTTGCACCTTCGATTTATATTTCGCTGTGTGAGTACATGTAGTTTGACACAGTTTGCCCTTGGTATTGGTATACCTGGTTCACTTTCTCTTTTTAATGATATTTTTGCCTTCGCTTAAGAGCTCTTAATTGTCATTCAGTAATGCATATTTGAGCAAATGAAGTAAACATCAAAAGAGATCCAAGATATTATTCATGTTGGGTTTTGCTTTTGCTTCGAGGACTTTGTATAGTATCTTATGTACTACGTTACTGATGTTCTGCTACAAGTGTCACTATAGACATTTAGGGATCTCCTAAAAAGACTGATACCACTTTCATGACTCTGCATGTGTTACTGCGCCCAATCAAGAAACAGACTGGCACATAACCCCCTGTAAAACTGCAACATGCTGTTTTCCCCCTTTTTGGTTTTGCACTGATTAAACAAACATATGATATAACATTTTAATTAGTGAGCTTTAGACATTCTGGTAGGCAGGTTTTGTTACCTTTTTAAAAAGAGCTTGGCTAGCTGTTTCTAGTCATTTCGTTAAGCTAAACCATCTGTGGCTCTCGCGCACAAACACGAGAGTGACTGATCTTTTCACCTATCGCTAGGCAAGAAAACAAACAAGTGCGTTTCCCAGAAGGTGGACCTAATCCTTTATAGTCCAACTGAGATTAAGTTGTGGGTGGGGGTGGGGGGGGAGACAGAAAGCAAAAGGAGAAAATTATTATTTTAAATGATGGTTTTATGATTGTAACCAGTTGACATGCCATGGTTTTCTGTCTGCGTAGATAGACAGCTTGTTGTCATACTCTTGTAGGCAGACAGCCAGACAGCAGCCTGCTGCCTGCTGCACGACGCCCCACGTTAGCTTTTCTGCTAATATCTCATTCTTATGTAACTTTTCAAACAAGGACACATCGTTGGCTTTTTGAGTGAGTGACCATCATCTGGGCCCCACTATCAGTTAGGCTAGATAGCTATTAAGCTACTCAGCTGCAGCGCATCAAACAGTATAAAGGAATAGTTTTATTAGCACAAAGAAGGGATACTGGAGTAAACAGCTACCCTGGCTCTGTCTAAAGGTAACAAAACCTGCCCACCAGTGCCTCTAAAAAGGGCACTAATTAACACAACAGGAAAGCTGTTTCCCTGTTTCCAGTCCATTTGCTAAACTAAGTTAAGTGGCTGGTGCCATTAGATTCATTTTCATGATGCAGACATGAGAGGAAGATCTCAGCAAGAAAGGGAATAAGTGTATTTCCCAAAGTGTCTATTATTACTATTCCTTTAAAAATTTACCTACAGTGGCTTGTGAGCTGATTTCCTGGGCAAGTTTGCTAATTTTGTCTGTTCGTGCTCCGGCTGGTGTTCCGCGCTCAATCAGTGACACACACAGATTTGTCCCCAAATACTTTTCTCTTTCTTTTTAAAAACAAAAAAAACAATTAAGAATACATTGGGGAAAAAAACACTGACATTGTGACTGAGAGTAGAGACTTCAGTTGGAGTTAATACTCACATGAGTATTGTGAAACTGACATAAAACCAACGTTCAGTACAGTTGTAATAATTATTTGATTTTGACACAGGGAGCATAGAATAACATCTATTAGACGAATCTAGGTCAGTGACGTGGCGAATAGATAGTTGGAGCTCCGTGTCTGTGGATGTAGAGAACATATCACACCATGCGTCGCCTATTACATCATCTCTGCCATGATTGTGAAGACTCGTTTTTTCATAACCACAGCCATATGTGTTTATGACTGCCCTGAAGTGGACAAATGCCCTGGTTGTGAAGGAGATGACCTTTATAGGTGACTCTTCATAGTCGTCATCATCATTATCAACATTCCCTTCCCGAGGTACAATAAGAATCTTTTAGGTTGCCCCATCTTTATGTTGACGCAAACTCTTAGCACAAGTACAGTGGACAAAATGATGATCAAATGCTAGTGAAACGAACTTGAAAACCACGTGCTTTTGCTCCTTTTCTGTATTGCTTTTGAATAACAGTGAGCAACTGTGTGAGGTAAACTGTGGGACGATCTGACATATTTCCTCTAATCTTTCTTCTGGTTGCTTCACTGGTCCGCTTTGACGGCAGGCTGCAGGTGTGGGGCTGCGCAAGAAGCAGCAAATGGTGGCATTAAACATGATTTCAAAATAAAGGAACGAATGGAAAGAATGAAAATGGAAGTGAACGCATGAAACCCGGAACAATGAGCAGGACTAGAGGCGGGAGTCAGAAGCAACTTTGCTTGCTCATTGTGTGCCTGTATGAAACATGTTGGCCCCAATAAAACAAGTAGAACCTTGAGGTTTTTTTTCTAAAAGGAACTGGATGCAATTTAAACTGTAATCATATCAATCAAACTGTCATACGCACATACACAAACCACTGACCTGAATTCAGAATGATATAGCTTGCCATTTCTTAAATTTTTATGTCAAATGAAACGCATTCTGATACATTATAACTTTAAACTACTTAATACTGAGAGACTCTGAATGACTTTAAATATTAAACAATCAGTTTGACTTCTCTTTCAGTGGACCAAGCTGACCCATACTCTCATGTAGCTGCCCTCCATTTTGACCAGATGCTGCAGCGGTTTGGCTCTCCAATCATCATCCTCAACCTGGTCAAGGTGACATACATGCACACGCACGCACACATTTTGACTGTGGCAAATTATATATACATTTATGAATCCCCTTTTCCTGAACATGTGTAATAATAAAATGCGGTGGTTCAGTATTACATTATTATAACGGAAAGAAAAAAAAAACTAACATCGCACACGTAGTGGGAAATTGTTAGATTGCATTTAAAAAATCCATATCAAGAGAATATTTGCAGGGCATAGACAGTCTTATTACCTGTTCACATTCATATACTGTTGCTACACAAATTTGAATCATACTGATAATTCTAATGAAACACTGGTAAATTGAGTTACAGCTCAACACCACCTGCATATATAGGCTACTTTAGTTAAACCACATCACAATGCAGAATGTTTCAATTTTAGCTCATTTGAGATTATCCCTCCTCACCTCCCTTAATTTGTAGCGCCATCTATATTCTGTTTTGTTTAAATGTCAACAACCACAGATCACTTAAAAAATGATGGCAAGATAAGAAGACAAATGGACAAAAAGCAGAAAGCAAGCAAGAGTGCTCTACTGTTAACTGTTAACCTATTGTTATTTAGAGACCCAGGTTGTAAAATGCTGGGATTTGCTATGACAGGACTAGCTTCTTTGTGTGAGCAATATATAAACCACAGATGTGGATCTTTTTGGATTGTTCAGGTGCCTTTGAATGAAATGTTTTTCATTTGCTAATAGCACAAGCTGTGATTGTGTAATTGGCCAAGCACTGGGTTGTTATTGGGGCTTAGTTGTTGCTGTGGAGATAATCAAGAAAGACTTTCCTGGTGGTTGGTAATTACTAGCAGTTGAAAATGGTAACTTGAATATTGATCTCCCTCTGTGTTGTTCCAAAAACATACACAGCAGTGATGAAAGGGAAGACGCATTGCTTTCTCCACCTTGTCCCTTCACATAATAATAATGCTGTAAAGTCAACATCTATATGCTGCTTTTGAATTCTGAAAAACAAGCTTTTTTTAAGTATGATGCAATTAGAATGCTTCAAGTAAAGTAAACAAAAGTTTGCATGAGTTTCTGTATGCTGATCCTTTTTTTTTTTTTCATACTCGTGTGAGACGCTGTTAGACATTTCCCATTTGAGCCACGGCTCTACTAGCCGTTGCATTGCCTTTTCGCTTATATACACACACATGCAGGGGCACACGGCCAGACACTCTGGAGCTTGGGTTTCAAGCTCACGTTGTCACTCCCAAGGGGAGCCATGAGACAAGGGACCAATCGCAGACTTCAGAGGTCCGCACAAGCTGCAGCCATGTGATATGTGTAGACTGTAAGGGAGGGGACGTCCTGCTTATACACTACACCCTCTCTCTTATCCCAGAGAGACCGATAGAGCAAGGAATTGGCAATTAACCATGAAATTATGACCGTCCATCTCTCCACGGTGGTGACTTGGGTTGGCTCGGTGGTGTCAACTCTCTGTGTGTGTGTGTGTGTGTGTGTGTGTGTGTGTGAAGATAGACATAGAGGCAGAATAAGAGCGCACATGGCCAAGCATGTGAATGAGTTTTCCAACCAGCTGACTTAATAAAGATCCATTTATTTTGCCTGCTGGAGATAACTTCTCCCCACATAGATATTTTTCAAATATTTAATTTAGTCAAAAATGGCAAAATCTCTCTTTTTTGAGAGAATGAGAGATGGCAGCAGCACTGAGCACAAAACACACACAAAAGGAAGACGAATAAAGATGAGAAAAAAGGATAAAAGCGAGCCATTAAACACAACAATACATTAAAGTTATTACAGTGCCCATTCCTGACCATTAAAATGTATAGCCCCCTCCTGTATGTGCATGTGTGACTGTTTGGATTCGCATTATAATTCATGATCTGTGACTGCAACTTTTGTACTACGTCTGATAATTACTGTGGCATTTGTATGCTGGTTTATACCTGCGGACAGTACATGTGTGCTTTTGCGAGTATAGGTGCATGTGTAGTGTATTTCTAGTCTATCATCTGTGCCTACAAATAGTGTGTGTGTGTGTCAATGTCAATTTTATTTCTATAGCACATTTAAAAACAACAACAGTTGACCAAAGTGCTGAACAGGGTCGATGTCAAATACATAAATAACAAGTATAAAAATTACTACAACCAAAGTGAAACAATACAACAACACTTTATAACATCAGAAAACAGGTTAACGAAGGTTAAATGCTACTGCAAATAGGTGCGTCTTAAGCAGCGATTTAAACGTTTGTAGGGTCTGTGCAGCTTTAATATGCATGGGGAGGTTGTTCCATAGGATGGGGGCACCCACTGCAAAGGCTCTGTCGCCCTTATTTTTAAGCTTTGAATTTGGGACATCCAGGAGTAGCTGATTTGTTGACCTCAGTGTTCTTACTGGAGAATGGTGGCATAAGAGATCAGCTAGATAAGGTGTGTGTGTGTGTGTGTGTGTGTGTGTGTGCGCGCCAGGCTGTATGACACATTCTGCTTGATTGGAAAGAGGACGTGCATCAGTAATTTGCCTGGTTGCGGTGTGGCTTTGGCACTGCTGGATATGTGGATGGAGATCTGAGCTGCTAAATGATGCATCCAAGCCCATGATCACCCAAGGTGATCAGTCAAAAAGGCACAATGAGTGGAAAAATCAGTTAATGGGCAGTGTAACTTCAGGTGACAGAGGCAGACTTGGAGTGTGTGCATGCATTTTTATTAGCAACAATATAAAAATATATAAATGTATACATATTTATATTTTTTATTTGTTTATTATGGTTTCCCCCTTTATCAATTAATTAAATAGCTGGACCTCGGAGGCAATAAAACCAACAGTCAAGCTTTTCAGAGTAATATTTCCATCTCCTCAGACAGTGTGGATCATTCTGGAAAATATACTTGTGGGAAGCAGCCCTAGGTTTCATAATAATAACATTTAAAAAATACTTTCTACATCCCATGATTGCTATCTGTCTTCTGTCTTCGCTTGTTTTATGTGTGCCCTTATTTTATAAAAACCTTATCCCAGTAATGCTTTACTCAAACACCAACAAGATTTAGACAGGCATGTGTGCTATACGAACATTTTTGACAAGACCGTCACACATCATCTTGTTGTCATTCCAAGTATGCTTGTAAAATTTGCCAAAGGAGAATAATTGCTTTAAATTAACAGATTAACTGAACAGTGTAAAATGTACTATTCAGCATTTTAAATGAAGTAAAGTATGGTGGTCACCTTAACCATCTATTAATATGTATGATTTGCACTAATTTCCACTTTAACTGTATTAACATTCCAAATGCAACAGCTATTTTAGCTCTTAATCCCACTCTTTGCTGCATAATATCCAATTTGCACAGATATCCTGCAGAGCTGACCTCTTATTATATATATCTATCTGCAGCATTTATTTTCTGTTCTGTGCTTTCCATTACATAGTATATGTCCAACTCTGCTTGGATCCTGTAAATTGTTCCTGTTTTGGAAGAAGACCTGAATGGATCTTTGTGAATACATAAAAGAGGACAAACATCTGTCACATGTCTGACATGGTGTCCTCACGTTTCCTTTTAAGCAACCGGGATCCTATTATAACTGTATATTAACACCTTTTTATATGAGCTCTTCTTCACTCCTTGGTGAGTCAGTCATACATGTGACATACGCATGTCTCTCTGTTGTGCTACAGAAACGAGAAAAAAGGAAACATGAGAAGATTCTGAGTGAAGAGCTCTACCCAGCTGTGATCAACCTGAATCAGTTTCTCCCCCCAGAAAACTGCATCGACTACATCGCCTGGGACATGGCCCGCTACACCAAGAGGTTGTGACAATAAATGTGCCTATTTAGTGAACTGAAATGTGCTTAAAACACAGCTTTGTGAGTGTTGTGCTTTTACCATCAAAATATCAAACTCACTCACACAGAAAATACCATTAGCAGCCAGTAGCAGGACTGAAATCTTAGTAAATGAAATGTAAAGGAAATTTGACTTTTTTTTTTTTCCTGAATTGAACATGATGCAACCTTTACAGAGCAACAGCAAATAAGATCATAGTTTTCTTATATCGTATTTGTTTAGAGATCATTAGAGTATAAAATGATGACTTATCATGGTTTCAGACCAAACATGTAAGCACGAATAGTTTGCGCAAGCTAATGTGGAGAATGAAGGGCAGCACAAAATGGCCAACTAGCATGCTTTGGACGGTAAGTGATTACAATGTTAATTTTCCAATTTGGTTTTCTCCTTTCTGATGTTTTGTGCCATGCCTTACAGAAGTCCCGTTAGGATCAAAGAGTAGAGTTATGTGATTTTGGGAACTCAAAGAGGCACAAAATGAACTTCTCCAAAATTTTTCAACATTCAATTTAACTGAACTTAAAAACTGAAAAACCTGGTAGAATATTAGAGCAGTGTGGGCAGACACCAACCAGAGCTCATTTGCTCTCTCCATTGGAAACAATGCTTGCTTTTTGTGCGAGTGCCCTTTTAGAATGACTATCCACAGAATGTGGCCTTGCTTGGCTTGTGTTAATGCCTTGGAATAAATTACAGTAAATAATCATATTACAAAAGTCAAAGGTATTGTAAATCATTATAACTCAGCTACAGTTACATAAACACAAAAAAAGTAGGTTGATTTATTGTGCAAATATTAATAAATTCTTCTCGTTTCTCTTTCTCATAGTAAGTTGTGCAACGTTCTGGACCGCCTGAGTATGATTGCAGAGAACGTAGTTAAACGAACAGGTTTCTTCATTAATCGTTCTGACTTCTACTGTCATACCATCAGGCCAGATGACAGGTGAGCCTTTCCTTTTAAAGACAGGTAGCTGATACACACTCTCTTGGACCAGATTTTAAGCTTTGTTCAGTTAAAGGTTGTCTGTAAACAATCACTCAGCTTATTGCATTTCACTTCCACATGAAAGCGATCCTAAACTAAAATGAAATTTATTCATTTTAAAATGAAAACTGCTCATGACTAACATCATTGGGCACTTGATAGCACCCTCACTTTTCACCAAGAAACCTGTTTAAATAAATAAGAGGTCACACCTTCCTCAAAATGGAGGACGGTTGCAGATTATGCACCAGAGAAAAAGTGCAAGAAGAAGGAACCATGTGCGAGACCACACCACCACCTTTCCCACATTTGCATTTCACACTGATTTTTTCTAAAAGAGGGTGTCTTATCCATTTTTCTATTCATACATATCACATCAGAATCATACATTTGTCGACACTGCTTTTGAATCCCTCAGGTTATGAATTCTTAATGGAAATTATGCCTGATGGCAGTTGTGTCGCATAGAGTTTTCTGCTAACGAGCTGAGTAGATTGCCGTCCATGTACTCAATGCATGGCTCTTCCATTGTCTGCGTGTTTTAATCTCTTGCACCTAACATTACCATTCTGTTACATAACCCAACGACCACACCACGGCCAGTATTTATTACCCTCTCTTTGCATTCCCCAACGCTAGCTAACATTCTTTTAATACACTCTCACTTCATGTGCTCTATATCACACACACACACACACACACACACACACACACACCCACCCCTCAAACCCTCAATGGCTTTTAAGCAGATGCACTTTAATAATTGTAGCACCTGTAGTCTTCATCACATGCATAAATTAGGTCATGAATAATGAAACTGATTATGGACATTGTCTTTTCCTTAATGTACTGTTCTCGTCTGTCCTCTGCAGCTAACTACATTAAGACACATGTTTTCACAAGTAATATCAAATACATACATACTTCATACTTTAACTACAGTTGCTCATTGGTCCCATTCTGGTCACTGAGTTCATACCACAATGAGATACGCTTTTCTTTAAAACCCACTCTTAAACAACAATTGTATTTTATTTAACAATTTAGAGGCAGTCTTTCCTCACAGACTTATTCTCACTTTGACTGTTGCTGTTTCTTGTAGAACACTTTAAAAAGGAAGTGATGAATGAGAGTAGTTGTATTGAGTTGGAGAAAGGAAAAACTAGTAAAGACAGAACCCAGAGCCAGAACTGGACCATGCTTAGTATCAGACTGTTTATGGACTATGGAAAATCTGAAACCTATGTGATTAAAGGATTAGTTCAACATTTTGGAAAATATTAGTGTTTGGTGATTTTAAATGAAATGATAGTCCACTCTTCTATCTGTATATTAAATTTAAGGCTGTAGCCTGCTGCTAGTTAGCTTATCTTAGCATAAAGCAGCACACCTTGGGTATTATAAATTTTTTGGACCGTTTCCAGTCTTTAAACTAAGCTAAGCTAACCGGCTGCCAGCTGTAGATGTGAGTGAGTGGGATCAATCTTCTCATCTAACTTTCAGCAAGAAAGTCAATAATATCTTTACATACTCCATCGTCAACCACTTATCCTGCATGCAGGGTCACGGGGATCTATTTATTTATATTTATTATATTTATACCTTAGATCATTTTGGTTAATGTCAACAGTGTACTGAATTTCGACATCAAATATATATATATATATATATATATTTCTATTTCGAGTCCAGCTGTGTGGCATCTGTGAGACGGGCTTCATCTTGCCGGGGGTCCTCCATCCTCGATGCAAGGCGTGCCTCGGTACGGAGCAAGCTGGCCAAGCGCTCTCCCCTGCCCGTACTGCGCACTCCTCTCCCCTGAGTAGTGGCAACGCCGGGCGGATAATTTTGCTGTTCAAGATGAGGAGGTGTGGCAGCCCACACCCTCTCTGGACGAAGCCATAGGAATGCTGATGCCGGATGAGCAGGAGTCAGATGACTCCTACTCCTCCAAGTGGTCTGTGTTCCAATGCTGGTGTTTGAACCAGGGGTTGGAACCGGTAGCCTGTCTGCTACCGGAGGTGCTCTCGTTCCTCCAGCTGCTCATGGACAGGGGTTTGGCGTTCAGTACGGTTAAAACCTACGCCGCCACCATCTCATCCTGCCACGAGGGTTTTGGTGACAGGATTGTGTTCGCTCACCCCCTGGTGAAGCGTTTCCTGAAAGGGGTGCGGAGGACGGTGAGATGGCCTGTTGCTCCACAGTGGGATTTGGCGCTGATCTTACGCACACTAGCCCAAGCCCCTTTTGAGCCTTTAGAGACGGCGGACTTGAGGTTTCTTTCGGCCAAGGTCGGCTTACTTGTGGCTCTGACATTGGCCAAGAGGGTCAGCGATCTGGCTGCCCTCTCTGTGGCTCCGTTGTGTCTCAGGATTCAGGGTGACTGCAGATCGGCTGTCCTGCGCGCCAATCCTGCATTCATGCCTAAAAGCATCAGTAGGTCCTTCCGGTCGCGGGTGATTACTCTCTCGGGCTTCTTTCCTCCCCCCCATGGGTCTGAGGATGACGCCACATCCCACCTCCTCTGCCCAGGTCATGCGCTGTCTTGTTACGTGGCGCGCACGGACGCCTGCCGCCGTTCGCAGCGCCTGTTTGTGCACTATAGGGAGCAGTCCAAGGGTGTTCCCCTGTCAGCGCAGCGCCTGTCTCACTGGCTGTGCAAGGCTATTTCACAGGCCTATGTGTCGACCGGTGAGTCACCCCTGGATGGCATCAGGGCGCTCTCCACGAGAGGCGTCTCCTCCTCTGTGACATTGCACAGTGGGATGACGGTGGATGACATCTGCACGGCGGCTTCCTGGTCTTCCCCATGCTCTTACGTGCGTTTCTACCTGCGGGATGTCTCCTGTTTCTCGCTGACTCACTCAGTACTGAGTGTTTCGGCTGAGTGATTTTCCCTTGTGAGTGTGCGGTGCGCCCTCTCCCTCAGAACGGGGGGGGGCGCTGCTCGTGCTGGCCCTGCTCTGTGCACAGCTGATGCAGTTGCTGTCGTGACCCCGCCTGCTTCTGTACAGAAGTTCCCCGACTATTACAGCTGCTGTACATCCAGTTCCCCGACTATTACACATATGTTGGTCCCCTGCCTCCCATGTCGCGCCATCGGTGCTTGTGCGCACGCCGACTCCAATGCTGGGGGCAGCGGGTGACTGGGTGGCTCATTTATGGCTCTGGGCAGGTGGGTTTTGTGCTTGGTGGTACCGTATGGGCCAGTGAGGCGTTTACTCATCCTGCTTCGCCTCTAACCCAATAGAGATAGCCTTATAGGGCGAAGCCTAAACAAAATAGAACGGGAGTTACGTACTGTAACTCCAGATTCTCCAGTATACTCCAGTGAGTATAAGCACAGCCCTCTAAGTTGAAGGCCTCACTGGACCTTGGTTCTCAGTGCTGAAGAAAAGGCATTTGGGAGCCGAAGGCTGGGTCTCATCGGTGTGTGGATGTAGGATAGCGATAGCCTTAGAGGGCTGCGCCCATACTCATAGAATCTGGAGTTACCGTACATAACTACCGTTATTTAGTCCACACCCTTTTGCATGGATTTTTATAAAACATTTATTTAACCAGGAAGTCCCTTGAGATTGAAATATCCTATTGTATAGTTACAGAAACACCAATACGATGCAGTATTGTAAACAGTGTTGGGCAAGTTACTCAGAAATTGTAATTAGTTACTTATTACTCCTGAATAAATTATAATAAATCTAAAAATATTACATTCCTTATTACTGGGTGATAAACGTAACTAGTTATGTTACTGACTGAAAAAACTGACTGAAAAAAATAAGCAAGTAAATCCCGACTTTTTAATTACTGTTTTTCTGCACATGCATTTATAACAATATTCAATGGTTTTACAAAATATAAAACGTTGCTTAACGCCACGCTCTCCTGATAAGTGCATGCATCACTGGCAGTATCAGCCGGAGTTTCGTTCTATAAGCTTCATGATGCTGTGCTGCTTTAGCAGATGCTTCAATACATTTAGATGTAGAATTGTTCATGGTTTACACAAGTTTCGCACAAGTTTACAACAGACAACAATGTTTGCATCTTGCATCTTAGACTGTGTCTCAATAATGCGAAAGCAGATGACCTGCCATGCATTCACGTCAAGGATGGTGCATTCAATAACGCAGCGTTACTTGGAACTGTAATTATTATTGTTTTGTAAATAGTAATCCCTTACAACACTAGTTACTGGGAAGAGTAATATTATTACAGTAATGCATTACTGCCCAAAACCAATTGTAAATAAGAACATTTATTCCTGATTTTCTTCTGTTTATATTCCAGATTGTCTGCTGAATATCTCTCTTTGTACTAGGAGTCCTAATGGGGCTCAATCTGTTCAGATGTCTGCACTGTATGTTTCTATCTAGTCTATTATGTTCAGCCTTGAAATGGTGGTTATAACAGTGATCAAACCTCTTGTAGTGGGAAAAGATTAGTAAATCTACCTGCAGTTGAGTAGAATTGACATGTGCACTTTAATGCTTTTGTCTGTTTCCAGAAATTATTTCTTTAAGTCTGATTAAATGTCTTTTTTTTCAGGTGGGGAGATTTAGGTGGACACATCACAGCCAGTGGACGGGTGCAGGTATGCCACAAACTGGTTTTGGTGTAACTTTCGTGTCATGATTCTGTTTTTCTGAAGGCACCAAATATTCTCCCCAAATTAGTGACTCCTTTTGCAGCTTTTGTACATAGGAAAATTAAAAAAAACACACAGCAGTGTAAAAAAAATGGCTACTCTTTATCAACTGAGTCATAGAAGGTAAAAATCTCACATATCAAATCATGTCATTAATGTCTAAGCCAAGGAAATCTCTTTTGTATATAATGTTTATTTAGAGGCTTAGCATTCATTGCTATAGCTGCAAAACTAGGCACATGCATTTAGCCGCATAATGACAGGCTTTATGAGTTTTAACGGCAACCTTGAGTGCATATACAGTGATCTTCAGGTGTTGTCATGTAATTGCCACCAATCACAGTGGTGTCAGGAAGTTTCACAAGGCTTTGTTGTTGTAGACTGGTGTGTTGCGGACTAACTGTGTGGACTGTCTTGATCGGACCAACACCGCCCAATTCATGGTGGGGAAGTGTGCGCTGGCGTATCAGCTTTATGCGCTGGGAATGATTGATAAGCCCAAACTCCAGTTTGATACTGACTGTGTGAGGTAAAGATCCTTACTTTATCATTTATTTTGCCACCACTCAATGGAAAGTTATGAAGAGTGTGCACGTGTACTGTATGTGTGTGTTTTTTCCCATGTCTGATTGTGTCCTTATCACCATATCACTGTTTCAATCCCACAAAACCCTAATTTACAACAGCCAAGATTAACATCACCAAGTTTTGCCTGCCCATTGCCTGTGTGTTAATGTGTGGTTTGTGTGTTTATGTGTGGACCAGGCTGTTTGAGGAGCTGTATGAGGACCATGGAGACACTCTGTCGTTGCAGTACGGCGGCTCCCAACTGGTCCACAGGGTCAAAACCTACCGCAAGATTGCTCCCTGGACACAACACTCCAAAGACATCATGCAGACCCTGTCACGCTACTACAGCAATGCTTTCTCAGGTGTGTAACACAGACACATGAAGGCGCGTTAACATTGTGAGACCCAGATCTCAATTGGCTTTTCATACACACATGCACAAGAATAATGAAGAGGGCACTCGTAAATTACATCCCTCCCTTAATTCAATAGTTTATGATAATGTAGGTTACCGACATCTCATTTTGATCATGTGTCACACTAACTTAACAATTTTATCCTGAAATCCATCCATATTGAAACCTAAACCTTCATGTTCACTGTTACCAAAGAAACAAAGATTCTTTGCATACACATAGATAACACACATTCAGACTGTGTATACATACATACATACAGTGAGGAAAATAAGTATTTGAACACCCTGCTATTTTGCAAGTTCTCCCACTTAGAAATCATGGAGGGGTCTGAAATTGTCATCGTAGGTGCATGTCCACTGTGAGAGACATAATCTAAAAAACAAAATCCAGAAATCACAATGTATGATTTTTTAACTATTTATTTGTATGACACAGCTGCAAATAAGTATTTGAACACCTGAGAAAATCAATGTTAATAATTGGTACAGTAGCCTTTTTTTGCAATTACAGAGGTCAAACGTTTCCTGTAGTTTTTCACCAGGTTTGCACACACTGCAGGAGGGATTTTGGCCCACTCCTCCACACAGATCTTCTCTAGATCAGTCAGGTTTGTGGCCTGTCGCTGAGAAACATGGAGTTTGAGCTCCCTCCAAAGATTCTCTTTTTGGTTTAGGTCTGGAGACTGGCTAGGCCACGCCAGAACCTTGATATGCTTCTTACAGAGCCACTCCTTGGTTATCCTGGCTGTGTGCTTCGGGTCATTGTCATGTTGGAAGACCCAGCCTCGACCCATCTTCAATGCTCTGACTGAGGGAAGGAGATTGTTCCCCAAAATCTTGCAATACATGGCCCCGGTCATCCTCTCCTTAATACAGTGCAGTCGCCCTGTCCCATGTGCAGAAAAACACCCCCAAAGCATGATGCTACCACCCCCATGCTTCACAGTAGGGATGGTGTTCTTGGGATGGTACTCATCATTCTTCTTCCTCCAAACACGGTTAGTGGAATTATGACCAAAAAGTTCTATTTTGGTCTCATCTGACCACATGACTTTCTCCCATGACTCCTCTGGATCATCCAAATGGTCATTGGCAAACTGAAGACGGGCCTTGACATGTGCTGGTTTAAGCAGGGGAACCTTCCGTGCCATGCATGATTTCAAACCATGACGTCTTAGTGTATTACCAACAGTAACCTTGGAAACGGTGGTCCCAGCTCTTTTCAGGTCATTGACCAGCTCCTCCCGTGTAGTTCTGATCATTGAGACCCCACAAGGTGAGATCTTGCATGGAGCCCCAGTCCGAGGGAGATTGACAGTCATGTTTAGCTTCTTCCATTTTCTAATGATTGCTCCAACAGTGGACCTTTTTTCACCAAGCTGCTTGGCAATTTCCCCGTAGCCCTTTCCAGCCTTGTGGAGGTGTACAATTGGACAGCTCTTTGGTCTCGGCCATGTTAGTAGTTGGATTCTTACTGATTGTATGGGGTGAACAGGTGTCTTTATGCAGCTAACGACCTCAAACAGGTGCATCTAATTTAGGATAATAAATGGAGTGGAGGTGGACATTTTGAAGGCAGACTAACAGGTCTTTGAGAGTCAGAATTCTAGCTGATAGACAGGTGTTCAAATACTTATTTGCAGCTGTATCATACAAATAAATAGTTAAAAAATCATACATTGTGATTTCTGGATTTTTTTTTTAGATTATGTCTCTCACAGTGGACATACACCTACGATGAGAATTTCAGACCTCTCCATGATTTCTAAGTGGGAGAACTTGCAAAATAGCAGGGTGTTCAAATACTTATTTTCCTCACTGTATATATGTATATGTGTATATATGTATGTGTGTATATATATGTACATGTGTATATGTGTATATATATATGTATGTGTGTATATATGTGTGTGTGTGTGTGTGTGTGTGTAATACAGAACTGACTCAGACTGCTAGCTTTGCTATGGTAAGCCTTTTACAGCGTATGTCATATTTAACCACATTCACAGATAAACCAAACCCAGCTCTGATTGGTGCTAAATTATCACGTTAGATTGGTTGCTCCGTCTCTAAAAATTCTAGTTGTGTGGAAAATGTGACCTAGCACATTACATGCAGTGCATTACACACCCTGAACACCGCATCAAACAAAATCATACTGTTTTACTACAATATGACCAGGTACCAATCTTTTTTTTATCCACCCTGTGATGTAAGATGAGAAAGTGTGGACATTCCAGCATCTACAGCTAAGCACACACTGTCACATCCAGCACAGCTCCCTGAGGACTTTAGGTGCCCGTATCCGCTGTGTTTGTAGCTTATTCTAGAGCATTTACAACATTTTTATAAAAACTCTTGAATTTACATTGAAGGCTATAAAAGTGGATATTTTGAGGACATTTGATTTCCAATATTGTTATCTGGTGTCAGTTTTTAAATTGCCTTAATTAATGTATTTCTTGCTCTTCCAGATTGCAACCCAGATCTAAAATTGCAAATCAGTGTTTGATAAAATGGCTTTGTTATGTCTGCAGCTCGTATTTCTAATAATTTTAAAACGACACCCTAGTTTGTAGTTAGATACAGTGTGTTTATTAAATTGTGCACAGGTGTACACAAGTGTTTGCATATCATATCATATAACTGAGGGTGCCATTTGTAGCCTCAGAAATGAAGAGGATGGTTGTGTACTGTGTATTAAGCCAGGTGTGACCTACTAAGTCAACCTCCTCTCTGTGTCTTTTCCTTTGGCTCTTGTCATTCACTTCATTTTGAAAAACTGGATCATTGGCTGTTTGCAGAGCAGAACCGGGAAAGTAGCAGATTGTTTATTCAGACTGAAATGTCAAGTGAGGCTCATATAATGCAGCACACACATGGAGAGACTATCATGCACACAAGTGCTCAATATTACATGAACTGCACACACAATAATGCCATGACCTATACCAGGACTTATAATCTGAAGTGATCAAGATGATGCCATGTTGCTAAGTTATTGCTAAGTTATACCTCTGCACTCTCTGCAAGGCAGCAAAGGATAAAAGGGGAAAAGAAAATCAAAAAATCCTAATTCAGTAGTCAGAGCACCAGCGAGAATTTGCTGTCAACCTGCCCTTTTAGCAGGGCATAACCATTTTCATACAGATCATTTACATGATTACATTTTCATGTCTTACTAGACTTACTAGCTATTCAAAACTCATCCGCCACTTCCCCTTAGTCACATTGATGTTACTAAATTGAAACTCTCTAAATCTGGCCTCGTATTGCACTGTTAATTGTAAGTCTGTAATTTTAGATTCTCTCCTAAATTGTATTTTTGATGGGTTAACTATAAGAAAGTAAATCACCCAAAAATAAAGATTTTCACAAACCTTAGTTTTTGGAAAAAAACTCCTGATCTGCAGTAAGGACAACAGAATCTATAAGTGTTACTAATACGAAAAAGGTAACTGAAGGCCTATCTTTATTGCGAGAAAGCAATACGTGGATAATCCACAGACCTTTCTTTGAAAACACTACTTTCTACCAGCAAACAAAGAATCTTGCACACTGCCTATCAGTTGTAGTCACATAATCACACTAATAAAGTGATGTGTGTGGGATTCTTTGTTTGCTTTATGAACAAGTATTTGATGGATTGCCATGAACTTTTGTATAGACAACCATGTTCCCCAGAATGAATCCTAATATGACTTTCGTGATCACCTGACTTTTCTTCCTACGCCTCCACAAGGTTGAAATTTGTTCTTATGAGTAAAATGTTTCAACACTTGGATAAATAAACCACTTCTGTAGCCATGTACATGCACTCAGTTAAAGACCTGCCCCCAGGACTGCTTCTCATGGGCTATCCTGGCAGAGTAATCATTACAGGCTTTTCAGTTTTCACACCATGTATGAAACAAATTTATAGTGTTTATTTTTTTTTACCCTTGATGAAATATCTTGGAGATATTTGGCAATGATGTATACTTTTACATCTCCACCAAGCACTTTGACAGCTACTATCTGATTCCTAAATACACTTTGAACGCGCAAACATACAGGACACACTGTCATATGCTTTGTAGCCTCTTGAGATGCAGCAAATGTGAATGAATGTTTTGATGAGACCGGGGAAAAGGGGGGGAAAAGTGAGCTGAAATTGAGCAGACCTGTTGACAGATTTTTTTAGTGTCTGCCTTTCATTCATTCATAATACATCTTATAAGAGTGAGGCTTTTTGTCAATGACTTCTGTTGCACGTGTATACTATATTCACTATCATGATGTATTGAATGAATCTCAGGCTGAAAATTACCAAGAGAAAAGGCTTGACAGCAGGCTTTGATTGAAGCCAGTTTAGTTTATAATTATCTAACGTGACTGTTGGAGCAGTATGCACAGGGCTTCACACGGGGGGTGGATTAATGGCACCAAACTGTGCAGCGTGCAAAACACGTGCCACATGCTGAACACATAAACACTCACAGAGATTATTTTTGCACGCTGCCATAGCCAATCATGTTGCAGTGTGGTGGTTCAGAGAGTTTTTACTGGTAAGGTCCCTGTTCATGTGAGGAGGACACATGGCTGAGTGAGTGCAGCTCTACCTTTATTTCATTAATTGGAACATTTACCATCTCTACTCTTTTCTTCTCATGATAGATGGCTGGTGAAGTGTGTCTGGGGGAGCCTTAACTTTCATGCTCATATTATGAAGAAGTGTGGTTTGATTTGTGGTAATTCAGTTAATTTGTGGTCAAGTTTTTTTTGCCATGGACTAGATCAGTGTGTATTCTCTCAGTAGGCAAACATCAGGACATCACAAGTGAAAGAAATGTGGAAAATCTAAATTTAATGTTACAAACAAATCCCTTGGTTTTCTTCTTCACCTCATTTTAGCCTTATAAATTCTCTATTGTATATTTACTATGTATTATGTCGTCACAGTTTTTTTTGGCATCATCTTGCTCCTCCAGATGCTGACAGACAGGATGCCATCAACCTGTTTCTCCAAGTCTACCAGCCATCAGAGTCCAAGCCGCACCTGTGGGAGCTGCCCACTGACTTCTACCTGCATCAGAGGAACACCATGGCCCTGCCCCAAGAACGACGCAGGTAAAAACACAAACTTGTGCTCATAAAAACTTAATGTGCATGCACAAATCGAAATACTTACACATAATGAGCTGAATATGCAAATGCAAATATTCAGTGAATATGTACAAGAAAAACTATATACATAAATGATTAGACATTAAAACACACATACACAATACACAATACCTCTCTCAATTGCCCTTAGGGATTTGTGTTTGTGTTGATTGAATAGCTCAGTGGGTAATCACTCACAAAAGATCAGCACCTGCACTGCTGTTTCTGAAAAGCCTTTTTTTTATTTATTTTTTTAAAGCCCAGTCTTTACAAGTCTCCCATGAGTGGTGAGGGTGTTCAGATAAGAATGTGGGTGGATTTGAATGTGATTGCTTTTGTGGTCAAGCCTCTTCTTTACTTAGACAAGTGTCACAGAGCTTTGGCCCCCAGGTATTAATTATGTGTATGGCACTCCTGGGGTTTTCTTCATGACTTACCACCGCTGCCCGATATGTTGTCCACATTACTGCACCCGCCGTATCTTAATAGGGTTTATACGTTGCCCCTGAGAGCTTAACACGTTGCAACTTAAGAAAATGCAAATGGACAAAACGTGGAAATGTGGAAAACATCTTTAATAACAATGCAGCATTAAAAAAAGCACTGCAAATAGAGAAAACACAACCAAATATAGAAACACTGCCACTCAACAGAAATTTTACAACACAACAAATTTTTGTCAGTAAAAAGTGACAAACATGCCCGTACACTCATGAGACATGCTACTCGTTGCCAAAGTTTGTGGTTACTGAAGTTGACAATCTGTCATTGGTGTTGGAAAAACGATGGAACATTTTGACTGCATGATTCAGATGTAATTGCAGATATTTGCTTTTAACCTAGCGTTAACCTTTTATTTCTGTAGTCTACAAATTCACATAATGGAACATAATATCTGAATCATGCAATCGGAATGTGAAAAACAACAGAAACTTGCATTTTATTGAATTAAACAGTTTTTTTTTTTTTTGTTGTTTCCGTACTTTCTGTATTTGACTCTTTTCTTACTTTGCGTGAGAAATTGATCACGCATTTGTTGTGTCTATTTGCATGTTTTCCTAGGATTGAAGTGAGTTGATCTTCCAGGGCTACTGTACAATACGATCAGATTATAAACCCTTACCCACATTCATGAATGTGAGATACCTGAAGTATTTTCCAAAACCAGGCAACTCTTATTATCCAGCCTTTTTATATAAATGGGTTACTGACAATAGGATTAACAAAAATATTGTTAATCCTTCTATTTTTGTTCTTTCTCTTAAAATATTAATATTTATGTATGTATTATGAAAGTAGATTCCATGTATAATACCAATGTACATGATTTTTGTGTCATATACAGTATGTAGTATATCATACTGTGTACATATTAGTTATATATAATAGTTTCTTTGTATAGCTGTTTTCTGTCCAAGCTGTTGTTTTCTTTGGTTTGTCGCTTGGTCTGTCCTACTCATGATTCAGTCTTTTGTATTTCATTCACAGTAGTTCGGTCATTTTTGTGCATGTGTACCGGAGCATAATAGCATGCAAGTTGCTTGCTCTCTGTTGTCTTCATGCTTACATAAAAGTAGACCCCGTTTTCTGCCACATGCCGCTAGTTTGTTGCCACAATGGTTGGTTAGGTCAGCCATTATTCCAAGAAATTGGCATGCTGGAAATGAATTCATTTCGGGGGGCACACACTGCGCTTCTGCTCTCAAACTCTAAGTAGCACATCACACACTAAATCATAATCAGTCCGTTCTCTCAAATTGGTCATATTAAATAAAAGGCTGATGTGTTCGAGAGTTGTAAAGTAGGTGGTTCAGGCAAGACAATTTTCATATGTAGGTCATGTGAAGTCCCAGGAGAGACAAAGTAGACTGCAGAATACACAGACATACATCAGTCAGTCAGTGGAAAGTTTTCCAGAAGGTTTTAACACATGTCTGTATCTTGTCTCCAGCTACACACTGTGGTGGTCAGAAGGAATCTTGTCCTATCTTCCGGTGGCCTATGATGAAGGTATCACTTCAATACATGATATGTGCAATAATAATCTGCAATATCTAGAAAGAAATAACAGACATAAGCATTTTGTGGAAATATCAAAATTGTTCAATCTCATTAAGCTTCGAGATAGAGATTAATGTTTAGCCATAGGAATTATCTTAGGTTTGTGTGCATTTACCATTGCCATAATTTTTAAATATAATAAATTTTAATTTACAAAGACACAACAAGTGTGTTGGTCCATCTCTCAATGCTTTCCGACTTCCTCAGCCTGCTTCCCCTTGGTCCCATTCCCATCTGAAGACAAAAAAAAAAAGACTAAGAGTCTGCAGCCATCTTAGTTTAGCTTGTAATCATGCTAACATTTAATTTGATTGACAATTAGCAAGAAACATTGTCATCTCTGGACCCTAGAAAAAGGGACACCAATATACTGAACTTATTTTTTAAAAGTAAAAAAAAAGGTGGACAACAGATGGACACTGTAGTTCTAAGCAAACATTACTCAAGCAGGCTGCAGATTTGGTATGCTAGCGAGCATTTATGGCAGCAGATGAACTGCTTTGCCATGTTCCTCATTGTTGTATTTATAATAGTAATACTTGTTAATGTATTGTTGGTTTTTGGTCGTTCCATGGGACGTTTTGACAAATATGACCAGACTTACACTTGAAGTATGTGGAGTAATATCTTGTAAACCTTTTTATGCGTTCCTGTGTGAATGCAGTCCCCTGTGAAGACACTATGAAGAAGGTCAAAGTGAAGAGAGTAAACCGCTTTGATGAAAGCACTGACATCTACACAGAATTCTTCAAACCATATGAACTCACCTCCTTTGATGACACATTCTGCATCGCCATGACCAACTCTGCAAGGTGAATACACGCCATTTGTTTGTTGAAGGTTGTATTCTACATGCAGAGGCATGTTTTTACAGCTCACTACAGTTATTGCTTAAACATTTGTGATATGTTTGTGTCGACATTGCCAAGTCATCCCAGATTTTGTTGGATAAAAAGACCTTTGATAAATAGCGCACTAGGGTTATGGTGCTGCATGATGTCAGTTAATGGGTTTCCTTCTGATTTGTGTTCATTAAGGGAATTTATGCCCAAGACAGTAGGAGTGGATCCAAGCCCATTCACAGTTCGCAAGCCAGAGGAAACCGGAAAATCAGTGCTGGGGTGAGTGCTACTTAGGCTATGTACATTTGTGATGTTTTTTTCTCCTTTATGTAATAAATCCCATGTCACTGTGCCCTCATACATACAACTTAATTTGACACTGTGTTCTCAGGTAACCAAAAACAAGGATACCATTTTTCTGTGTGTGTGTGTGTGTGTGTGTGTGTGCGCTGCCTCAGTGAGTTCCTTTAATGCTCATTCTTTATTTTTAATTTGGATCCCCATTAGATTACACAAAGTGGTTGCTAGTCTTCCCGGTGTCCACACAAAAACAATAACCATAAAAACAAACCAATTTAATTCACACAGTATCAATAAAACTAGAAAATATAAATAAGTGACATGTGATAAAATGGACAATAGTAGATTATAATCCAAACAAAATTGTCACAAATGAAGACCGACAAACAAAAATCACATTTATCTGTCTGATGTTGGTGGGAACAAGAAGGCAGAAGATCTATATAAAAACAAAAACAGTTTCCATCACACAAAACAGAATTTTCCTGATGTACATCAGACCACTGTAAATCTTTAACATAATTTATAAATGAGTCGACTCTGCATTAAATTATTAACACCATCCATGTTTGTAGAAATGTTTGTTGGTTGAGTCACAACCTGGCTAACCTTTCACATATTCTATCCACATACTTCACATCAGACCTGGGTGGCCAATAACAACAACCAACTATAATAAACTTACAGTATGGAAGGTGGATCTTTAGCCAAATGAGTTCAATGTCAGTACTCGTGTCTTTCCGTAGCACAACTGAAATGTGTTCTTGAACATAGAAAGCATGTCTGCCAATACATTTGTCCTCTTTTTATATAATATCCTTAGATAGCCAGTTCAGTGTCCAGGTGTGTTTCTGACACAAGAATATTGTCTGAGTAACACATGAACTTTTTTCATGAAGCTGCATATATTCCAGTCAGCTAATTCCAAACCCTTCCTTAGCAAACTTAATAACTAAGGCCCTGTTTACACCTGCCATTAACATGCATCTTGGGTGATCTGATCACAAGTGGACAGCTGTGGACAGTGTGTCAATTCACACCTTGCCTTAGAATGCGTCTCCACATGCATCTCCAGTGACCACTGCGCAGTGTGCAAATAAACACACGTTATTTCTGTTTGCAAAGACCAAATGCGCTAGCTGCACGGGGAACTGACCTAACTAGCTAACGGCAGTTAGCCGTGCTGCTATCTGTCAAGTTTTGAGGCAGCCAGAAGACATCAGACCGCCACAAGAATCCATTTTGCCTGTTTTTGAGGCGGCTTCTTGTTTTTTTGAGACTTTGTGTCTGGTTTTAGTCAGGTACAGTGAGGAAAATAAGTATTTGAACACCCTGCTATTTTGCAAGTTCTCCCACTTAGAAATCATGGAGGGGTCTGAAATTGTCATCGTAGGTGCATGTCCACTGTGAGAGACATAATCTAAAAAAGAAAATCCAGAAATCACAATGTATGATTTTTTAACTATTTATTTGTATGACACAGCTGCAAATAAGTATTTGAACACCTGTCTATCAGCTAGAATTCTGACTCTCAAAGACCTGTTAGTCTGCCTTCAAAATGTCCTCCACTCCATTTATTATCCTAAATTAGATGCACCTGTTTGAGGTCGTTAGCTGCATAAAGACACCTGTTCACCCCATACAATCAGTAAGAATCCAACTACTAACATGGCTGAAACCAAAGAGCTGTCCAAAGACACTAGAGACAAAATTTTACACCGCCACAAGGCTGGAAAGGGCTACGGGGAAATTGCCAAGCAGCTTGGTGAAAAAAGGTCCACTGTTGGAGCAATCATTAGAAAATGGAAGAAGCTAAACATGACTGTCAGTCTCCCTCGGACTGGGGCTCCATGCAAGATCTCACCTCGTGGGGTCTCAATGATCCTAAGAAAGGTGAGAAATCAGCCCATAACTACACGGGAGGAGCTGGTCAATGACCTGAAAAGAGCTGGGACCACCGTTTCCAAGGTTACTGTTGGTAATACACTAAGACGTCATGGTTTGAAATCATGCATGGCACGGAAGGTTCCCCTGCTTAAACCAGCACATGTCAAGGCTCGTCTTCAGTTTGCCAATGACCATTTGGATGATCCAGAGGAGTCATGGGAGAAAGTCATGTGGTCAGATGAGACCAAAATAGAACTTTTTGGTCATAATTCCACTAACCGTGTTTGGAGGAAGAAGAATGATGAGTACCATCCCAAGAACACCATCCCTCTGTGAAGCATGGGGGTGGTAGCATCATGCTTTGGGGGTGTTTTTCTGCACATGGGACAGGGCGACTGCACTGTATTAAGGAGAGGATGACCGGGGCCATGTATTGCGAGATTTTGGGGAACAACCTCCTTCCCTCAGTCAGAGCATTGAAGATGGGTCGAGGCCGGGTCTTCCAACATGACAATGACCCGAAGCACACAGCCAGGATAACCAAGGAGTGGCTCTGTAAGAAGCATATCAAGGTATCACAGTGGACATGCACCTATGATGACAATTTCAGACCCCTCCATGATTTTTAAGTGGGAGAACTTGCAAAATAGCAGGGTGTTCAAATACTTATTTTCCTCACTGTATATGTAGGTAGGAGCTGTGGAAGTACATGGTGCCACTGCTGCTGTGATGGGCAGTTTAGTCTCCCACTGCTTGACTAAATTTTAAATGATACATGGTCTCATGACATAGAGATACAAGTATTCTTTAAAATGAAATATGACAGATAATTGCATGCCAACTTACATGTCCATGGGTGGGTGGGTGTGTGTGTGGGTGTGTGTGTGTGCACATGTTAATCTTTCTGACTGTTTGTGGATATGTGGCAGTAACAAGAGCAGTAAGGAGGAGACACTGCTTCAGAGGAAGACTGCAGCCAGTGCACCTCCTCCGCCAAGTGAGGAGGCCATCACCAGCACATCAGAGGACGACTCTGAGGAAGACCGCGATGACGACGGATCTGTGTCGCAGCGTTCCACCCCGATCAAGCTACTAACTGAGTCTGGAGAGAGCACTCGCACACAGGAGGTTTGAAAACACAAAGCATACATGTTCAAAGACAAATAACAATAACAAAATACACATCAAGGAAAACAAATTTACACCACAACAATGAGATTTGAAATACAGTAAGATCAGATTTTAAACACTTCAAGGGGGAATTGAAAACACAGGTACAACAAATCTAAATTTGTATCTCTTCAGAGCCTTATTGTTTAATATGGAGGAAATAAAGCAGCCTATCAAATGAGAACCTCTAATGATTCAAGGATATGTAATCTCCTTTAAAGACCTCCAGGGAAATTTAATCGCAGTTCAGGCTGTGTTGATGCCACCTGCTTGTATTTTGGGCCTCAAAAGCATTTCACATTCCAGTTTGAGTGTGTCACCCTAATTGTATTTTCTCCTCTCCACCTCCCACGAGTCCCTCAGAAGAAATTAGTTCTGTGTTTCTGTTTGCGTCAAACATAAGAAGTGGACGTCAACTAAATCAGCCTCAGTGACAGGAGTTTCCAGAGCAGAGGGTCGCAATGGTGTGTGTTTGTGTTAATGTTGGTTATAGGGAGAATAAAAGAGAAGTCATGTCATTAATCCTCTTTTTTTATCCCTAACTCGCTGTTTTTATTTAGTAGCACAAAAGACAAATAAAAATATATAAAAAATACACAGGAGCTGATGGTTCATATCGATTTGATGCACTTGCCAATCTTTAAAACCTTTTTCTACTCTCAGTCTTACTCTTCGTATGTATCCCTGTGTGACTTGACGTAACAACAAGTTTGTATATTTAGTTGATCTCTGTTTGAAAAGTGGCCTTTGAAAAGCTGGCTAGAAATGGATATAAATAACCCTGTTGATACCAACTTGTGGTCTTGATTCAGGCATGAAATAAGAAACTACTTTTATTTGGTGTTGGTTGTATTAATTGAATTTTAGAGAAACAATCAACAATCCTTGTGTCTATGTTAAGTAAAATATTAACGCTGGAATCTATAATATTTTTAGGAATATACCAAGTTTACATTTGTGTGATTTGTAAAAATAAAATAATTTGGATAATTTGGATAAGAAACCATATTTGGCTGTATTAATTTGTAGCATTGACCGCCACAAGGTCTTTTTACTTGAATACTGTATCCCCAAATTGGTCAAAAGGTAACCATGTGATGTCATCTGTACCGGAAGCATTGTTGGTAAAACCAACCTGCCATGTCTGCAGCTTCTTATGCTGCACACTCATTATTCTGTCCAAAATGACCAGGATCTTGCTGATCCAAACAGTACTCTGTTCCAGTTCTCGTGTTAACTTGAGTTGCTTTCATGGGAAATGTAGCAGAATGGTTCGTTCTTCTCTGGCTTCCTCCTCTAAGGCCCCCAGGTATCATTAAGGTGTGTATGTAGGACATGTGCAGTGGGATTTTGTCTGCTTTTAGGACATCAGGTGTTATGTGGTCACCTGCTGGTGTCTTGCCAGCCTTCAATTTTTGATGTCTCATATAATATTGGGTTTCTTCCCAATGTTGACGTGAAGGTCCAAGTCTGCTTTGATACACAGACAGACAGACAGATCTTAAAAAATATCAGATGTTCTGCAAGCGTTTTCTTGTTTCTTACATTACTTTGGTAATAATTCTAGGTGTTTGTCACTACGAGCGACAATTAGTAAGAAAATATTTAGAGAATCAAACTGTTTGCCTGGGCGTAATCGTGTACCTACCCAGAGATAAGGTAAATGTCCGATTTTATTGCTGTTAACAGTGTCTCTAAATAGTTGACCACATGCTTTAATGTGTGTGTGTATATATAGAGAATAGTATAGCTGTGACAAATTCCCAGAAGCCGTTACCCACTATATCTGTATCTATTTCACGCCCCAGGTGGACTGGTTGCACGTTCACATCCCCCATTAACCCAGTTTTCATACCACAGTCCAGAAAACGAGCACATGAATCGGCACAGGTAGTAGGTCAGTGTGTCAACAGGATGACTCAAATGCGCCACAAAACGACGTCCTCTTGGAATTTCTTAGTTTATGAGTAATGTCTCTCATAATGCATAAGGAGCCCCTAATGATACTGATGATTGAAGCAGCCATAATGTTCCGATGGTTACAGCCATTGTGACATCAGCAGGAGTGAGGTGACTCCTTCTGCCCGTGCTTTGCCGTCCGTCCTGGTGACTCTACCACCAAGAAGCCCTTGGAATAGAGTTGTATTTCTTCCACTGTCAAATATGTTATGTTCAAACGCCAAATGGGGATTGTGGGTAATTCAGTTCTTTGTGGATCAGATGGTGTCAGGCAGCCCATGCTATTCATTCACAGTCCCCCTCCAGCGCTGCCATTCCGTTCTCACTGTCTTTGCCAGTAAAACCAGTTTTAATGCAATAACTTTTAACTTGCTGCTTTGAGTTTTCCATTTTTACGATTGCGTTGTCCTATGAATCACTCGAGGAATAATTCAGCTGTTTGTGGACTGCAAACTTTTCAGTGCTTGCAGTTAAGGGAGGATATCCACTGTCTGAAGTCGGTGCTTCGACATAGGAATCAGCGAACCAGGCCCATGGCCCCAATCCATAGCTCCTCCGCAAAGCAGTCCCAGCCATCTCGGTCAGAGGTGGCTTGCTGTGGTCAAAAGAAAGATCCAGTTGGCTCTTTACCCTTTCAAACTGCTTAACTATGTGTCCTGGAAATGGCTCTGTTCTGTCTGCTATGGTCCTACCGATCTCCACTGCATCTCTAACCCCTGTTGCTTCTCCACCTATGGCCAAGGCTGGTTGGTCTGCAGTTGGTCCTCCCGCCCCACTGTGTCTCCTCCACTTGGAGCAGCGCTGGACGGGCAATGCAATGGACATTATTAATCTGAAGAGAGTGCAGGAAAGCTGAGCGTCAATGAAGAAAAACTAAGCTACAAATACACCATGATATTTTATTTACTCATTAATTTCAACAAAGCAATTAGAAATGCAGGAAAAGCTAATTTTTCAAGTTGAATCTCAATCAATCTTTCATGTCAAGCACCTTGTATTGCTATTTTACAGAAAAGGTGCTATATAGGTTGACTGATTAAATGAAGGGACTTCATCGTCTGTAATGATGGCAGTGATGAAGATGTCAGACTTTGCATCCACTGTCCTGATTCAAGTTCCAGGAGCGTCCATGATGTTCTGGTTTACTTATTCTTTGATTGGATTGTTTTTGCAATTTTTAGTTCTGGTGAAGCTGCTTGTGTTTAGTGCTCATTTATTTAATAAGACAGAAATGTAAACCCAACAAGTTGTGGGAGTTATGAGCTGTAACTATTTATTGTGACTACAAGACACCAGAAAGTTTCCTGCTGCTTTCTGTCTTTATGCTAAGTTAAGGTAATCATCTCCTGGCTACAGCTTTGAATTTATTGGACAGACATGAGCGTGGAGAAAGCGAAAAAACATTCCCAAAATGTAAAGCTCCTTATTAAAAAAAGGTGTTTTGTAGAAAAAGGTTTATGTTTCCCAAAGTATTGTATAAAATAAGTAGTGTTTGGCGGTAGTGCAAATATGTTTGAAACTGCAGATTTTGAAAGTATCCATCCAAATAAATCCCACCCCTTCCCTTCAGTCCTCCCTCTAAAGACATTGGAGATGCTTATTACAGTCCTGCGACCGCCACAAAGCCTAGTTTTTTTTTTTTCCCCCCCAGAGCATTTAGTGTTACTGAATGCTGTCGGGATGTAAAGAGAATTAACAGAGAAAAAAATTGCCTCCCCTTGCTTTAATTGAGCAGATATCTGTGCAAGAGAAATTTCAGTTGGACCATATTTGATTTTTAAAGTTCAGGCTTTCCCTCCTGCTTCATCTGTCTCTTCGCTCTCGTGATTTATCCTATTTCGCTGGTTTTGCTTGTCGGGGCCTTGAGCAGTGAGCTGGTTGGGAATATTTCGGGCTGGACAGCTAGCTCACGTGTTGGGCGCGTACGCTCACTCTCATGCATCTCGTGTCGCTGCCTCCGAGCCTGTCCCTGAGAATGGATTGCCAGAGTGGTGGTGCAACACAAAAACTGTTTAAATATTTAAACATCAGATCATTACGGCGTTTGCCATGTAATTACACACGCTCATTTCATATTCCCCTCAATATGAGCCTACATGTGCCTGCATGAACATGGACAGATTTGCAAAGTGTGTGGGTGTATGGATAAGCAAGTATGTGTTTACACATTGGTCTGTGCTCCCACACACCACATGAATGTGTATGTGCTGCAGTAAGTGTGTGTTTGTGCGAGGTTTTGTGTATTTGTTTGTGTGTGTTCACAGCTGCCGTTTCTTGGACATGGTCCTGGAACACCCTTATTAGTTCTCCCCTCCCTGAAGCTCAGATCAATAGAAATACAGTAAAAACTGAATTCGTTATGTTGAGCGTATTGCGGTGATGTCAGAAAATGGTCCAAGAGAACAAGAGCACAGCTGACTGCTTAGCGACCACTCCAGTGCATGCTGTTACATAACAAGCTTCCCTCTGTCCTTGTAGGCTATAGAAATACGGTAAAATACACTTTAAGGATTAAAATTTGTTCAAGAAAGATTGTATTCCGAGGAGTATTTGCAGAAAATTTTAAACAATCAGAAGTTTCTCTCTGTTAAATCTTACTTAAAATGCTGCTTAATGACAATATTGCATTTGCATAATTTTTGTATCAGTGTGATAAAGTATGTCAATTTAATTCATTCAGTTATCAAAATTGCAACACTACACACAACTCTTCTTTTTTTGGCATTGTTACCTTTATCATGGTGGTATCTGAGGCTGTACAACACATACAAAATATTATCATCATCCATGTTAACAAAATTGTTAATTCACTGGACAATGGACAATTTCATAACCCATGATATATAAGATCCATTTTTTATACTCATTTATGTGTAACACTGCAGTGTTCAGATCAGGCTTCGTTGTTGTCTGGTATCTGCCAAGAAAACACTCAACCACAGTATAACACCGTCCCCGCAGTCTCTTACCACGACACAAGGCAAGATGGATTCATGCTTTTTACAAGAAAATTCACCAGCATGTGCACACAGAAGCTAAGATTAATCAGACCAGACAATGTTTTCTCACTCTTCAGCCGTCTGGTTTTGGACTGAGCACGTGTCCAGCGTAGCCTTCTTTATTGTTTTTTTCCCCAAAGCTTTGTGTAATGATGAATTGTCCTCTGCATGTGTTTTATTTCATTTTATCATAGTTTTATGTGATTAAACCACATTGAACTGCATTAATCTCATTGGTTAATTGTGTCTTTCTTTTTACATGTTGTTTTTACCAAGGCGTACGCTCATGAGCAATGGCCCTTGGTTATTACAATTTTGTTATCTTCCAACTTTTTTTGCTACCAAAACCATTTAATTTTGACTTCCTAATTTTCAAATGACTCTGGTTACATTATCTTTTTACATTGAGCCTCTTACCAGTCAGATCTTTTTTCTCTATCTTTTTTTTTAGAATAGATCTCTTGTTTATTACGATTATTATGTCTCCACAAACTTTGGACATTTTGTGCAAGAACTCCACGGGGGCACTGTCCCTGAACATGAAACCACCTTATCAGACGCCAACAATCAAATTACATTCATAGTTCTTCACTCCTTGGGCCATCCTAATTAGTAAATCGGTTGTAGAGAAGCATTTGAACCTGATGACCTGTATGGTTTTATATTTTGATTTCCAGCTACTTGGTTTGCTATTTGGAGACGCTGGCTGTTAACAAGCAGCTTTATCTGCTGACTTGTACCTTTTTGTATTGTTGTTAATCTTAATATGAGTAGGATTTGTCAGCTGCTGTTTGTAAATACTACATTCAAAGTTGGCCCCTCCTCCCTGGCTCAACGACTCCATTAAACTAACCACCAGTGAGCTGTATTGACCGAGAGGGATTAATTTTGTATGAGACAATTCATACAGATGCATACAATTCTTTTATGGTCATAGTAAAACTCTTGTTTAAACCTTTTTGTGTTTTTCTCAGCCACATGCACCTGTAGCTTCTTAATATTCCCTTCTCACCTCTTCAGGAGATCCAGCAGCCGTCAGTTAAGGAACCCTATGGACTAAATCTGGCTGAGTTTCCTGCTAAGGAAGACCTGCTCATTTATGAAAGGTAATGGACACAAAGCAGGCACACTCATGCATACATGCACTGTTTTGATATTATAATGATCATTTTAAAATGCTTGGTCACAGTATAGGGACAATCTTTTAAGTTAGGACATTAAAGTTACTACTATAAAAACAACTTGTAGGCAATTGAGGTAGGTTATGCTTTTTTATGCTAGGTTGTAGTTTACAGTGGTGTTGAACTGGACTGCATTATATTTAGAGGTGTTATTAATGTTTTGCCCATCCCATTTACAAACATGTTCCCCATTATAATGACAATAATGTCTGTTTTAGTGCCCATAAAAAGGCACTTGGCCAAACAGTGGTAGTAGTGATCAGTAACAAAACAAGTCTACAGCCACACTAGCATGGCTTGGCCTGCCTGAAAACAGCTCGACTGTACTCCAGCCTTTACTTCCGTAACTTATCTGCGTCACTTACATGTGTCATAATGCTCGCCCAGCAGCTAGTGTGGCACGCCCTAAAAACACTGGTGGACTGAACAGACTGAGCTGCAGCATACGCAGTGACAAGATGTCCACAAGACATCCACCTCCCCTCACCCACCATACCAGACAGTGCACACTGTGAAACGTCTTGCTCCAGTCTAGGTTGCGAAGCTGATTCAGGTTGTCCTGCCTGTGTTTCAAGATCATGTACACCTGAACCGAAGCCATGTGGTTACCAAAGCAGCTTTCTTTTGGATCACACGAGCTTGCTTGGACTTGCCCTAATCTGTTTCTGATTGGCTAGTAGTTCTTAACTAGGTACTGCACATGTGCAATTCTCAACCAAGATTTCATAGAAGTGAGATACTTCACTCGGTACCTTGAACAACTCTTTTCAACACACGGGTGAAAAGCGGTGCTGCAGCAATGTGCAGTATCACAAAATTATGGTGTTTAAAGTATAACAGAATGGGCTGCATAACACATTAAAACTACAATAAAAAAAAATAGTGCAGATCTCTGCCAGGCCTGGTATCACAGATGGTTATATGAATAACATGCCAATGTCTTAAGTCATTTCATGGCAATTAGTCTTTATTGAATTATACTGTGCAGAGACAGCGTGTCATTTTATGCGCAAATGCCTTAGAGACAAAAATATCAGATGAAGTAGAATAAAGAGCGACAAAGTCAGCTTTGGAATGAGGTCGGGATGGACGGTGGGTCAAACAAGCTTGCTTAGCTAGGTGCATCTGTAATTCCCCTTAACTGTCATTTTAACAGGGCTGATAACTTTGTTCATCAAACAACTTAAAACTTAAAAATCAAATGCCTGCAAATGGAACACCTCCAGCTTTATTTTCTAACTGCCTCTGCCATTTACTATCCTGAGAAAAATGCTTTCTTTTTATTGTTATGGACAATGCGTCCAGTGCCCAAAACAGAGAGTAGAGGAACAAGCAGTCAGTGTCAGCAGCCCCCTCAGGATGAGATGGGTCATTTTGCAAAAGGGACATTGTCAACTCTGCCCTGCTGTGTGCATCCCACGTCTGACCTCACTGCTCTTTGTACCGGTCTCTTTGCTCACCCCTGAGTTTCATTTTCTGTCTGTTCTATTTCATTTTGTCCTTTCTCCCTGTTTGCTCCCAACCATGTTGATGAGCTACAGTGAAGAGCCAATGCTAGGCTCTGAAACTGAACAAAACCATCACAATGTGTAATCATTAAGACTATTAATTTGAAATCGCACTACATGTACCAAATAACATGTTTGATATTAAACACACTGTTATGCAATATACACTTAACAATCCAAGACTGTACTTCAAAACTGAAGGGCCAGATGGTTAATTGTGTGGTTAAACTGTACTTTATGGTCAGAATGTGACAAACAACAGTGGATCACTTCATATATCTGAGGTAGAAAATTCAAAACAATTATGATAAAATCTCTTTTCAGAAAATATGATTAACTTTTTTCAGTCCCTTTTTCTCAACAAAATAAACATCTTAATAGAAAAATTAAGTGCTAATTTGTTTGTGGTTCTAATGAATTAAGTCAAATATTTATTGACGATATATTGAACATTTGTTATATTGTTATTGAGGAAATGTTGGGATAATTATCATTATTGTTTTATTGCCCACCCCTAACTGTATCTTTGATAATTTGATTTGATTCTATTTTCGGTTGAGTTAAATTAAGGACCAGTCAGTATTTTATAATTGACGTTATGCGTTCCTGTTTTGTTACAGGACCATTTTTCTTAATGTTGTTTTTTAAGTACAGCTAGCTAAAACTAATGCAATCTAATAGACCTGCCCTGCAATTAGGGCTGCACGATATTGGGGGGGGAAAATTTACATTGCGATATTTTTCTTTTCTGTCATATATATTGCGATATGAAAAAATACAGGAATTTTCGCCAGATGACTCCAGTTGTTCTATGTGAAATTAATTAAGCATCCTAGAATTATTGGGATGATTTTGTAGGAAATAATGCATATAAAATAAAAATAAATTAGCTGAAAAATGTCTTTATAGTCTGAATACTTTGAGTGCTACTATCCTTTCTTAAGCTTTTATGCAGTACACATGATAAAAAAAAACAAATGAAGAAAAGAGCGGCTATATGCTTATACGCTTTTCTTTTTGCAACCAAATCCACTGTGTCGGTGGTTTTCTCCTGTTCCTGACTTATTTTTAAGTTAACAGCTAGCGGAGGTGGAGCCTGCTTTGGTCTTTTGATAAACTGATCAAGAACAATATTGTGATCGGTGGTTTGCTGTGCATGCAGAGCCTGCTTGTTACTCACTAGCAACAACAAACTGTGTATCCAAGAACCGCTTAACTCTGAGTGTTGACATCAGACAGACTTCTCTTGTAGATTAGTCAAGAAAAATGAGAACTGTGCAAGTTTTTTTTATCAAGCAGCAAACAAGTTGAAGTGTTTGAGTTAATTTCACTTGCTTGACATTGCATTGCATTGTTCTGCAATGTGACTTTTGCGCAAGGGCACATTGCGATGACGATGCTCAAACAATATATTGTGCAATCCTACCTGCAATAAACCTTATTTTCATGAAATTTATAGTGTTCTGTTTTTGTTGAAACTGTTTTTTAAATAAGGTGATAATTAAACTTCATGGTCATTTTGAATGTTTTAGTTTGAGTGTAGATCACACCAAGATCCTAGTTTCAAGATTTGTAGATTCAAGTGCAGCAACAATAACATTTAACAAAATCAGCAGTAAAAACATTATCAGCTGTAAACATATTTTTATCATAGAATATTCTGAGCCAAACATGTCCGTGAATGTGGAAAGATTTAGACATGTTTTGTCATACAAAATGCAAAAGCATAAGCCTCTTGCCAGATTCATCATTTTGCAAAGGTTTTTATCGCTTGTACTGAGAAATGAAATGTACTGTTGAAGATAAACCAATACCAGTCAGTCTTTGATAACAGCCTCAACGTGCTTTGAATATGGAGCCTAACACTCAGTATTTCTCAGAAATGTGTCCTTGCTCACTAAACCTATATTTATGTGTCTAAAATTATGTTTCTATGTACTGAATGTGGCTAGATGTAAAAAATCGGTGATGAAAGAAAACAGACAGGCAGGCAGAGAGATAAAAATGTGCTGTCGGATAAATGTATTTATTTAAAGCAGATTCACTTGACCAGAGATTCCCCAGTTTTAACATTGATTGTAATGAGGTCCTTAGACTTGTGTCTCTGCCTGTGATGGCAGGTACAGTTTTGAGGCGTGATTGAAGCTGGGGAATTAACTTTAAAAAAACAAAAACAAATCCAAATTGTTGTGAGGGATGTTGTTTATATCCTCCTACTGTAGTGGCACATAATGAGAATGAAACTGCATTCATTATTGAGGCTGGAAGTTGGAATGGCTCCAAAGACGTTAGCTGCAGCCAGAGCTCTGCTAATCAGTGCATTAATATTAAAAATCATAAGCAACAGCCAAAGGGGGACTCTCAATTATTGCAAATTATGGTGTCTTCGCGTGAGAAAAATAACCTACGGGGAAATCTGATGACAATGTGCTCTGAACATTTGAGATCTCAACAGACAGGTTTATCTCATCTCTGAGTATTTGAATTGAAAAATAGAGAATAAGAACCTGAAATTTAAAGGTTCTGTTAGAGATTAATTACACTGTTACTCGGTTACCTTTTGTTAATGGCTCTTCACAAGATAATAATGGAAGGAGCAAGTGGCAAAGACAAACGTGTTCAGTATGTGGACATACTTAAACTTCGGGCTATTTTGCTGGAATATTTGTCTTTTTCATTCTGTGTGTGTGTTTCTTTTTTCTGCAGGTTTGCACATCTGGGCGAGACCCAGCACAGGGTGGAAAAAACTGAACACATAAACCGGGCAAACATCATCTGCTTGTGAGTAAAACATGTGACACATTAACCCAAACATACACACAACCAAACTCCATAATCCCTCACTCACGTGTAATGTTAAGCATGACATTGTGATAATGGTTTGTTTGGTTTTTAAATACCACTTCCAGTAGCCATGGGGCAAGTGAACAAGTGAAGTGGTCTCCAAGGAGGCTTCTAACCATGCGCTGGTTAATCTTCATCTCTTATAACCAAACACTGTTCCTTTACTTCTGTCTCCACCCCTTCGCCTTTCTGTTCACTGCAGCCATGACCCAGCAGGTCGAGTGTTTTTCAAAATTCAACCACACGTGGGATGGCAGTGTGAAGCCAGCCATACAGTCTTGCTCTCTTTCTTTCTAGCTCCAAATTCAGACAGACAGACAGACAGACAGACAGACAGACAGACAGACAGACAGACAGACAGACAGCAGCTCAATAACAACATGTCTTATCAGGATTCCTCTTGATATGTATGTTTTTAATTATTTTGCTGTCAATCATTACCCTTTTTTCGCTGCCTCTAGCTCATACCAACATTTACGTTGGTATGAGCTAGAGGGTTTGTAAAAGTTTGTGTGACGCTTCTTCACTGTGTGCGCTGAGTTTGCTCATTGTCTCAGCCCACACTGGGCTCTTGTGTGTGCCCTCTAAAAACTGGTAAGCCTACGTGCAATGAGAAAAAATATTCATGAGCAGTGTGCCAGTAACTTTTAAGACAACAAGCTACCATAACCCCTCTCCACTAATCGTTTAAAACATAGTCGGACGTGCCACACGAGAACCGTGAGAAATGCCGGTCTGGTCGCTCTGTGACAGAGACAGAGAGATTTCGGCAGCAGCTAAAGCAGTAAGACAGAAAAAAAACTGGGAGAAAATAAGGAAGGTTTGGGTTTGGCTCGCTGGCCATTTAACGTTAGTTGTATCTGTGCATTTAGTTGCATTTTCAACTTTTCACAGAGCCAACGTGCTTGTCAGTCACTTTTCGTCAACCGACCAATGACAGCCTGGATGGGGTGGGACAAAAAAAAAGCTACAGCAAAAGTGAACAATATGATTAATGACAAGTTTGTTCTTAGCATTAACAAATTAGAGACTAATGTAGAGCCTTTTCAAGTATTAAATAAATTAAAACGACACAGAAATGAAATGGATTTAATATTTGACTAGTGGTAAAATAGTAAACTATTATATGAAATTATAATGAATTTAGTATATTACTGTTATACTAACAGTAAACTATCAACTAAACATTATACTCTTTATTTAATACACTCATTTACAGTTCCTCCTCCAGGTTGTGAATAGAGACTCTGCATTAGACAGATGTGCATTGTGCCGGTGCCAGTGTGCCAATATGTGCTGCTTCTAGCCGCCTCCTCTGTAGAGCAACACACTCCGCTTGTTCTGTTTTATATCTGCTTTACTAGTTATTGTTATAAATATTGTTTATTGTTTAACTTTGTTCAAGTTGACAGATATACATTTCAAAATGTCAGTATTTTGCGCATTCCTATATAATTAAGCAAATAGACTCATAGTACCATTTGTTTGTACCATTATAATCGAATTGCAAATCGCAATATTGTCCACAACAATCACAATAGGACCTTTTCTCCAAATTGTGCAGCCCTAGCCGAGAGTGAGACGTGAAGATCAATAGCACTCTCATGTTTGTGCGGTAAATATAAATCTCCAGGAGCAAAGAAGTAGCGAGGAACATAATGTAAGGACAGGAAAGGCACGCAAAAAATACAAAATAAAATTGTGCAATTTGACAGGAAACGCATTAAAAAATTCTAAAATGTAATCATGTAGACACTTATAGGGGAAGGGATTTTGTCGTTGATTTATATTTAATTAATTTGTCAACATTGTAAGTGAAAACTGGTAGGCCAGTTCCTTAAATATAGCATACTGATTTGAGCCTATTCTGTCTACAACAAAGCCGACTGTATGTTACAATCAATAATTCAACTAGTAACAGTATCTTTGTTACAGGCACTATTTATTTATTCTGTTAAATTTGGGTTTTGATCCGTCGATACAGCCAGCCACATCAATTCACAGAAAAACATAATGTCGTTGATTGAGACTGTAACGTCTTCTTAAAAAACACACACACACACACACACACACACACACACACACACACACACACACACTTCTCATTCATAATTTCACTTTGAAGATACTATGGCATTTTACTGCTATCAGCTGAATTTAATATGAAAAACTGACAACTGTGGGAACTGGACTACAGTTATAATTTGAGGGGGTTTCGATTAAGATTAACAAAAAATTATAATAGCTTGAGCCTAGAGAGACAGATACTTCATTGCTCATTACGTGGTCAATACTTTCTCACACACACACAGCAGCACACTATTTGCCACAGATGTCTGCAATACTGTAAAAACACATGTGCAGATAGGGATCTGTCAGGCAGCACGGATTTGGTACCTACAGAGTTGTGCTGACAGAGGAGCCTGCACCGGAAGCAACTCCACAGTGGAGGTCTGCAGTTGGACCCTTGTCAGAAAAAGGGCATTTTCATATTTTAATTTTTGATAGAAACCTTTAGGTCAGTCCAAAATTAAAAGATAAATATTGGCAAAGTATTATTATTATTATTATTATTTTTATGCCATTTTTTTAGAAGATGGAGTCTGAGGTCATGTGAAATTGAAGAAGAGGGTAAAGGCAAGAAAAAAGGTTGCAGTCAATGAAAAGAGACAAAGAAAGAGAGACATTAGGGGCAATTAAAGAAGCAGAAGCATGAATGGGATGAAAAAGGTGGAAGCAAAATCATTGGTTGGAACCATTCAGGGAACTATGGTGGCGGTGGTGATGGTGCTGTGTATAAGACACATGCCTTTGGTGTGGGAGACCTTGCATGCGACCTCTGGCATATATAGCAGTTGTAAGTCGCTTTGGATAAAAGCGTCAGCTAAATGACTAATTCTTATTTTATTATTATTATTTATAACTACAGATGCATCAGAAAATTTTAGAATATCATGGAAAAGTTAATTTCCTTCTGTGATTTAATTTAAAAAGTAAAAGCTTTCATATATTCTAGATTCATTACACACATAGTGAAATAGATCAAGGCTTTTTACTTTACTGCTTACAGCTCATGGAATTGAGAATTCTTAAAACTATTGGAATTTTAGAATAAATAAATGAGCTCTAATCAGCTAATTCACTCAAAACACCTGCAAAGGTTTCCTGAACCCAAATGCAGGGCGCAGACTCAGGGAAATAAGAAAGTGAATAAGAAAAGGGTTTGACTGGATTCCAAGAGATGAGGTTGATAAGGGGAAAGTCCGAGAAGCAGAGGTGGACCTCTGGTGGCTGGTGAAGCGTGGCAGTGGAGGGGAGATGGCTGCATGTGACCGTGGCTGGCGGGCAGACAGACAGGCAGGCAGTGATCCTGAAGCACAGAGAGACAGTTAAAAGACAAGCTAAAAATAACACACAAGAAATCACTTAAATTCATATTTCAAATGACTTGAGTCATCCTTGAGCTATGGTTGAAACAACGATCTGGCAATGAGTGAATGAAGAGCTGGAGTTGTTATACTGCAGAGTAGATGGATTATAGGTAATGGCTATTGGTGACTTGAAGGAAGTTGGAAGGAGAGGAAGTTGGATGAAATGTGTTTTCCGGCCTTCAACTCTTTGTAGGGCGAACACATGACTACTCTTTGTGGCTCTCTTTGGATACATGACATGATTTTTTTAGTACATACATGTTTGCTCAAAAGTAAAGAAAGGTATTAGAGGTCACACAAAGGTGACAGACATGCAGATATTGGCTTTTGTGTGCAAGAGCAACCTCAGTCAGCGGGGAGTCATCACATCTTTTGATCCTTGTTCAGTTTGCATTGCCCCTTGTCCACCTGTATCTTCACCTTTCTTCAGTCATCACCCTGGCTGTTCATTATTCCATCCATCCATTGCTGTCATCCTCGTGTAAGGTCCACAGGTCTGGCATGTGTGTCTGTTGTGCAACATTGCTATTCTAAGACGCTGTTACAGCATCAAAATGTATTTTCGCCTGTCACCTCCCTCTGTGTAGTTCCTCTATTGACACATCAGGGATAGGCAAAGCTGACTCCGTTGGTGGGGATATAAGTGGAAAGAATATGAATACTGCGGCAGATTCCTGTTGAGAAGCATCAGTGAAGTGTGGTGATTTGTTTCCTGTTTAAATTATAATGAGCTTTTTTCCCCCAACACTAAAAAGGTGATATTTTCTAGATTGTCTATGCAATCCCTAAAGTAAGAAAACCTTCAACAGCCAGAATGCACTGGGCCCATTATTGCCCCAACTCCTTCAAACAATCAATCAGCACTACTAACGTCATGCTAAACTCTTGTAGCACTGCCAAATAACAAACTAGGGTAGTGTGTGTGCACTAAGCCCCCTTTATGGTCACCTTTTAATGATTATGATGCTGCTGATGTCAGCTGTGTGTGAACAGTCAAGACTGTTTAACAGATGTTTATTCAAGGGAAGACTTGTTAAAAGAAAAGCTTGTTGGGCTTCTTCTGCAATGGTTTAATGGCACATGGCTGGGGACTGTGCACCACCAGCTGTTTATCTTGATGAAGTCTGTGAAGCTTCTCGCTTGTCCAGGTCATAATTATCCAAGGAGGGTTAAGATCAAGGGCACCTGGACTTGGTTGAAGATACTTGAAGACGTCTTGCCTCTCATCCAAGAGGCTTCTTCTGTTCTGAGTTGACTGGCAGTGAGTCCCAGCTATTTAACCTCTATTCAATCTTCTGTGAAGGGATGAAAGGACAGCATTATAAGTGGGGGATAAGTGGTGTCACAGACTTCCTCCCCTGTTGAGAGATGTTTTCTCTACTCAGGTGTAGATGGCTTCTTTCACTCTCCTTTCAAACCATCCTCCCTGTCCAGAATAAACATTATTGTGCTCGAAGGAGTGTTCATTGTTCTAAAAATATAAGTAAACTGCTGAGTCTTGACCTCAGGTGTAGGCCGGTTTTTGTTGAGCCACGCTAACGGTTGTCTAATATACAGGTCATTTTAGTTATATGGATGAACCAATTATTAAATACAAATTTAAAATAAGGGAACACCAAATAATCACAGTATAAAATCAAGTCAATTAAACTCCTGGGATATCAGTTTGTTCAGTTAGGAAGAATAAGCAATTGGGAATCAATGTCACCTCTTTTGGTGCAAATGAAAGTGACAACAGGTGCAATGGAGAGGCAACAGCAAGGCAACCCACAAAAAAGGGAATAGTTATGCATGTGGTGGCCACAGACAATTGCTCTGCTTATCCTTTCTGACTGATTGTTTCTCTAGTTTTATATTTTGCGAGTGTCCTTGTCACTATTGGTAACATGAGGCAGAACCTGCAGCCCATTCAGGTTGCACAGGGAGTCCAGGATGGCACATCCATAGGTGCTCACACTGATTTATTTTCTGGGATTATTACACCAACATGGCGGCTCGCTGTAGGGAATGTTAGTAACGGTGCCCTTTCCTGTCACTTTCTGAGCTGAAAAGTTGGATTGCTATGTGAAAACAAACGTGGTGGCAGGATTATGCTGCAATAAATTGTTCAGAATGAAAGGGCGAACGTGTCATATTGGCGGACATTCTTTCTGTTTATTGTTTATTGCGGGATCTCTGTGTGAAAGCGGCTACTGTCTCAAGAGCACGGAGGACATACCAGGAGATGGGCTGTTACACAGGGAGAGCTGGACAGGGCGGTAAAAAAGGGCTTCAAACCAGCAGCAGGACATGCTCCTTTGTGCAAGGAGGAACTGCCAGAGCCATACAAAATGACATCCAGCGGGCTACTGGTGTGCATGTTTTGACCAAACTGATGTCCTCTAGTGGAATCTGTGCTCACAGCGCAGCACCATGCAGCTCCATTGGCATTTGACAGAGAGAACACCAGAATTGGCAGGTCCGCCATTGGCGTCCTGTTCTCTTCACAGATGAGAGCAGGTTCGCACTGAGCACATGTGACAGATGTTAGAATCTGGAGACGCCGTGGTGAACGTTATGCTGCCTGTGACATCACCCAGCATGACCGGTATGGCAGTGGGTCAGGAATGGTCTGTGAAGGCATATCCTTGGAGCGTCGCACAGACCTCGATGTGCTAGACAACTGTACTCTGACTGCTGATAAGTTCTGTGATGAAATCCTCATGGCCATTGGTGCAGCGGACCCTGGGTTCCTCCTGGTGCAGGACAATGCCCGGTTTCATGTGGCCATTGAGATCTGATGTGTGTTTTAAGTGTTTTTCTGAACAGTGTATTTAAGCCCTTTTCAATGATTGCCTCAGCATCTTGGAGGCCCTTGGTTTGAAGTTGGGTGTTTGGACCTCAGTATACCTTCTTGCAGTTCTCATTATAGCTTTAATTAACATTAAACCCTTAGTTGAGGACCATTGCTGACACTCTCAGCAATGGTCCTCAACTAAGGGTTCAGCATTTATCTCAAGCCTTCCTCGTTATACTGGAGCTACGGAGTTGTAGCTTACACACAGCCAGTTATCAAGTAGGTTTAATTGTAATGCGGCCACGTGTCTGAGCACCCTCTCGCTGGGGCCTCAGCTGCTGTTAAACTAGCTGACTGAATAGATGACCTGACAAGCACGCAGTTGAAAATCCACTCAAGATGATGAGACATGCTTTGGAGTCTCCAGTGCTCTCTCCAGCAGATTTTCACTCGATCTTACCGTTACCGATTTTCCCTGATGTGAAAAGTAAACATCATGACTTTTCTACCACCACGTGATTTGTCTAAAATCAGTTCTTCATACATCCATTATTTGAACACACTTCTGTCCCTCTGTCCTCCCACCCCCACTTCTTTGCCCCCCCCCCCCTTCCCCCTTCAGAGAGCCAGTATCCTGCTTCCCGGAGGACAGCATCTACACCGTTTCTCTCCCGCAGGTCGACAGAGACAGCCGCAATGAGTTTGAGAGCCATGTGATGACCGGTCAGGGCCAGGTGAGGGTACTGTGCAGGGACGACATGTTGATGTACAGGGAGTATGTCAAGAACAGATACATGTGAGACACAGACAAACAGGAACTGGATCTCTGTTACCAATATGCAAATCCAGATGGTCAGATCCCCATCTGCAATACTTGATATCACTTTAAGATTTTTGTTTGTAGCTACAGGACAGCGCAAGAGATGTTTTCTTGCATTTGTAAATCCATCTTGCTTCATCTACCCACCTCTTGGATTGTTTTATTTTTTCCTGCTGGAAATAGACAGTCCATAAGGAAGATAATGGTACATTAACAACCCATATGTCCTGTATTTGGACTCATATATGATGGCATTTTTGTTTTCTTTTTAATCAACGTCATTTGTGTGTTTTAATAGCTTCAAATGTTTTCCAATTACATCAGTTTTTTATTCATTCAGATGTGCCACAACAGGCTACTTATATGGTGCTTTTTATTTGTTCTTTGTTATTTTCCATCAATTACATTTTAATTGCAATCATTTTAAAAAAGTTTATTTAATTATATGTACATTTCAAAACATGTAAAATTATGTAAATTGTTTTGCCTCATAAATATTTTGAATCTTAAATGTTGGAACCATTAATAAAATGGCAGGACCAAAGGTTATGAGCTGTTCTTTGAATTCCACCTCAGATGGGCTTTTGAGTTTTTGATTTTGTTTTTTATTCATTCTGTTTTATTTGAGCCTTTACAATTTTTTTTAATAAAGCCATGACTATGGCTTCACTTCGTTGTTGTTTTATTTAATTGCTTAAAAACAATTTCCAACAACAGTCTTGCATAATGTAACTCATACATGTTCTGTAAATGTATATCCAGGTAATTTCCTGTCTTTTTGTCAAGGTCAGTTTTGCCACCCTATTTTGAACATTATGTGATTAAACTAGAATGCCAAATTAGTTTACCAAACTGGTTCAGTTATACATAAATTCATTTCTGATATGTCAGCTGATTATTGTGTACTATAATTCTAAGTTAAATATGTTTTTATTCACATGATGTGACAGATTTGATTGTTCTCAACTCTTTTGCACATGAATATTGTTCTTTTCATTCAGCCTCTGTTGTAATGTTCTTCATCTTTCCTTCTCTCCTCTGCTGTATTTCTCCCTTTCCCTATTCACCCATTGCGCACCCTATTCACTTTTGTTCAGTCTATCCCACTTTTTCTTTTCTCCCTCCCGTCATACTTTTAGTATTCCGCTTTTAACCGCAGGTGTCAGAAAATGTGAAATGTGCGACTGCCCTTTCCTCTAATGCACATACACGTTCAGTCAGCCTACTGATTGACCACTGGTCTCTGCATCTGTGCCTCGTGAGCTGGGGGAGTGGGGGTGGGGGGTAGTTCTTTAGCATGTGATGTGCACGGGAATTGAAGAAAAAGAACTGCTTCATTTGTATTTATAAATTTATAATAAACCAAATTACCTCAAATGAGGATGGAAAATAATGAATGTTTTTCATCCATCATCCATGTTTTCCAACCTTGCACCACTATCATTACAATTGTTAAGTGCTGGAAGAGTTCAGAGTGCACTATAGATGTCTAGAATACAATCCAGTAATAATGCATCTCACCTAAAGTGAAGAGAGCCTGTCACCTCTCACTGTGCTCCAGTCCCCACTACTTGTTCTTACCCTGGATGCTTTCTACTTTTGAGTACAGTGTAAATCACGCTAAGTACAAAAGTATTCTAGCTTACCATTATTGTGGACAGAAACCTTATATCTCAGGCTGTCATGCTGTGACTTCAGTTTCTCGTGCGCCACAGTGAGTTGAGATTCTTCATTCTCTGAATCTAACAATTAAACCCAACAGCAATCTTTAGGTCCCATACAAGGCTAGTTTTCTTGGAAGTGGTTTTCTCAGAGGGGATTTTCTTTGGAGTCACAAGATTATCACACCACAAGAGCAATAGACTAGTCCCTGATGTGTGGTCTGAGGACCCCCAGGGGGAAAGGACAGTAGTTTAAATGTTGCAGTTAACACCATGCACGAGACATATACAAGGATTACAATGTTTTCGTTTTTCTCCACTATATTGGTGTCCCATCATACAGGTTCATACCTCTTCACCAATGCATATCTAATAATGAAATTCTGCTTTCATGTTTTTATTATTATTTGTTATTTAACCTTTCTTGTTTCAAGCTATTTTTCTGAACATTTTTAACAAATGCTTTCAAAAAGTGACGGGAACATGTCCGCAGCATCCCCAGTGTAAATGACACCTATGGTCGCTACCTATTATGGGTGTGTTCTTTCATTATATCCAGTAATTATTTCAGTTAGTAATGTTAGTTCGGAAATGTAAACAAAGATTTGTGACAGCAGATGATTCACTTATATTTAGTTCTATAGATACCGGTATGCATATTTTAACAAATGTGTCTGCCTGGATTGATTGTAGTTCAATATAGATATTATGGTGATAACGTATGATGGTAGCTGCTTGTTGACATAAACCAAAACCTAAATCTCTTTCACAAAATTGTGGCTACAATTGCTAAGCCCTTAGACCCTGTATAATATCCATAGCGGTTTAGAATTTAGCAGATGTAATTAAAGTCATGATGACATCTGCAGTGAGGCAGGTACAGTGCAGTGGGTCAGACACAGTTATCCGATTATTTGACCATTTCTTTTGTGACTCCTTTTGCAAGCAATCCACTTATTTTGTTTTCCAGGTACTATTGTGTGCGTGCGTGTGGAGTGTGTTACCTCCCGTCCTGCCACCACCCTATTTTTTTATATTTTTTCTTTCAACCTTCTCTAAAAAATCTAATAACTATACTCCTAAACTTAACTATCTTGCATTATTTTAATAGTCTTTGTTTATTTTAATAGTCTAGAGTAAATAGCTCTATAAGGTTATTAAAGGTAAAGGATTTGTTTGTGTATAAGAGCATGTGTGCACTTTTGAAGATGAGATCACTCTTGTCTATGTTTGCGGGGAGGAGGACAGTAGCCAATTTGGGTTTGTCTCTCAAAATGGGCTGTTTTGAAGGGAAAAGAGGTTTTTTACATAAGGCCCTGTTTTTCTCATGTTTTATGTTCCTAGCGGCAGGTGTCTCATTACACTGAAACCTCTTAGCACACATGGATATGGTTGAATAAATGCATCTGGTCACTGATATTATTGGGGCAGCTTGTTATTAGTAATCCTCACAAAAATATAGTTAAAGATTGAATGTTTGTGCGTGGCACCAGTGGGGCAGTACTTCTATTTTGGTGGAAATTCAGTTTCATTTAGTCCATCATAGAAAACAAATGATTTTAAGATGTATTTCGGGCATGTGTGTGGTTGGGTATCTGCCTAGGTCTTTGACATGAGTCACTAGGCACTTCATGTGACCACTTAGCTTATGAATGAAGAAAACCCCCCTCTCCAGCCCTCGGTCCACTGACAAAAGGTGGCCAAACAGCTGTTGCCTGGAAACCAAAAACTGGTTACCATATTGCTACGCTGCTGTGAATCTCCCCCTACCTCCCACTGTCTCTCAATATGTCATCCATTGTTTTATTTAAATATATATGTATATGAGAGAGAGAGAGAGACAGAGGGGGGGGGAGGGAGAGGGAGGGATAATATATTCAGAAAAATAGATTCAGTTTGATATTCAGTGGTCATTAAGTCATTAAATTCAGATTTATTTACGTTCGTATCTTCATCACAGCTGTCGTCGGCCAGTTCTTTATTTCTCATAAAGTAGAGTTGTGAGAGAAAAATGTCAATATAGATGATTTAATGGGGGGAAAAAAGAGGAGTTGGAAGACTTTGTCAACCCACAAGGTTTTAAATAACCGACCCGCACATCATTTGAACTTTGCACACTTCACACACCACTGAGCAGTTGAAGATAACTCATCTATGTTTAAATACAAGGAAAACTCTGCGCTTGATCTCCACATTAACTTTCCTATTTCATGTCTGAAGCGTTAACAATAAAGAGCGAAGAAAAAGTCTTATCAAGGCGCAGTTGCTCAATCAGCACCTTTTTATTTGGTAAAAAAGAAGAGCAGATAGTAAATTGTGTCAAACAGTGGAAAAGGAGTGATGGCTATAGCTAAAGATACGTAACAGCACCACTATCAGTACTATTGGGTACAAGATGTTTGTCCTTAGATGAACAATTACCTGACATACTGTGCCAGCCTAATGTGTACCGAGCCGTGGTGTGTGTGTCTAAGATACTGTAACCTGTTGCAGGTATGCAGAACACACTGCTTAGAAACTGATCAAACTGAGCAAGACCTGTTTCTGCAGGCTGGGAGACAACTAAATGGTACTGAGATGAGGTGGTTAATCTACCAACCCCAGGTTTTTGCATAGTGTATAGGATTGTTAAGTTAACCTTCTCCCAGAGTGCCTTAGCTCGTTAGCCAGTCTTTTGGTCCAGACCATCTGTTACGCCTACATGAGCTCCCTCTATGTGTTTACAATGGCTAATCTCTCTCTATATCTTCGCTCTTGCTGTTACTCACCTTCTCTTTCCTTCATGGCCTCACAACATGCCTTCCATTTAAGTGAGCTATGATATTAGCTGTACCTGTGCTTTTTATCTGCTGTGAATAAGGTTTGTAACAGTATTTGATGCATTTCAACATTTGGTGGATCAGTACAATAGCACAACTGATAATCTTGTGCCCTAACCATGTGTGCAAATCCACACTCCCATGGTGTAAGTGCACAACTATGCAGTGAGCTAACTTAACACTTTCAGCAAGGGTTTAGGACAGGAAATGGCCTCTGTTTGTTTTTTTTCTAGAACAGTGACAAAGTATTGAAAACAACACAGTAAATCAGTAAAAGGCACAATGCTATAAACTAAATTTCGGCTAAAGGTACTGAGACACTGAGTTAATACAGCAACATGGATTCACAAGCATATTAAATGTAAAATGTTACATTGTCCCTCTAATGGAATATACAAGGAAGAAACCGTAGCCCAACAGCAGGGTTGGAAGGATTACTTCAGGTACAATTACAAATTACTTGTTAAAAATGTAATCAGTAACATAATCCAAGTACCACAAAATAAAAGTAATGTAATCTGATTATTTGTAGTTACTTTTGGATTACTTCAATGCCAAATAGGCAAATGAAGACGAGAGTATCAATGGTGCGTTTTCTGCTCAGTGTATTTTCAGAGAAATATGTACAAAATCTTCCCTTCCTATGAAATCAAAATCCATGTTTAAATGTTTTTATGATGTGCTTTGCACTATGGCAGTATCTGGCCCATCAATTCTTGATGATATTCAAGTGTCATTTGGAAAAGCATTTTAAAATGTTGATGACTCATTCTGCACTTGTATTAATTTAGTGTCCAATGAAAAGATTTCTCAATGTGACACTGCTGAAGCATAATGTTTCTGGGGTCTGGCCGTAGACCGTACAAAAACACAACTTTTTTCATTGATTTTGGTGAAACGGGATCATATTTGATGGGAAAATATTAGAAATATGGAGAAAATATATTCTAGTTTAATCTCTGATGTCCTCCGGCTGCTCTGCCTCAACTCTGTGATTTCGTGATGGACAAATAGCTTTAATTGTTGCTTAAGTTAGGCTAGTTAGCTAACTAGCTGCTGTTTTTAGCTCAGTTAGCTGTGCCCGTACTGGGAGATCGGAGCAGGGGGAGTGTTTACCATAGACTGTAAAGCTGTTTACACATTTTCGCAAGCACAGAAGGTTTTCAGGACAGGAGTGGTGGGGCGCCTGATTGGAAACCGGAGCAGGGAGAGCGGCCAATGAAACCACAATCAGCAGCCTCCCAGTGAACGCGGCATGAACAGGACCGAACACAGCCTCAGAGACCAACAGGGAATCCAGTACTGAGATGATTTACACAGAGCTTCTTGATGGATAGCTTTACTTCTTGCTAAACCTCTAACTATAGCCTATCACCTGTATCTGTGGCTGGTTAGCTCTGTCGATTAATGGTGCGTTCCATTTGACATGGGAAGTCGGAATCCCGACTTCGGAAGTCGGGAGAATACTGTTTATTAGCACTTCTGCGTACTTGTGTCTTATAGAAATGTTCGTACACAAAGTGCTGTCCAACAGCTGTATGTGGTCGTGTTGCTACAGTGTTTAGTGTGAGTAAATACCGCACAATGCGTTTTTTTAATCAACCGACGTATCAATTGCTAACCTGGCTAGTTGTAAACGGCTGGCTGAGCGTCAACTCGGGTGTGACGTCATTCCCAGCTCCGACTTCCGAGGTATGTGGAACGCACCATAACTGTGCTCCCTGCGCTTCAATTAGTTTACTAAGGCCCGGGTGCCAACCCTCACGTCGGGACTGTATTCCCAGTGGTCAAACTGGTCTCTGTCAGTCTCTACAGGCTGTGTATGCAGTGATCAGTCTGGATCCGTCTGCCGTGTTCACTCTCTGAGAGCTGGACCCAGTCCGCACAGTCTGCATGACACATTCGGCGCTACTGGCGACTGTAAACGCCAATCAATGTCTGCTACACGTCCCTCCCTAGCTTTGTGTTTTTACAGAAACACATTTAGTCTACTATAGATTGTATATAAAAAAATTTAAGGAGGGAAATACCACTGTGTTCTCTGTGTAATCTTTCTGCTTAAAGTAATCCCTATGAGTAATCCCCAATTTTACAAAATGTACCTGTAATCTGATTACGTCTATTTTATCTGTACTGTCACGGAATACAGTTAGTTTTTAGTATCCTGATTACATAACGCTGTTACATGTAATCCATTACTCCCTGACCCTGTCCAACAGTAGCTACATTCAGGGTGAGCTCCATCAGACAGCTAATAGCATAGTGGCTAGCATGATGAACACTAACATTTGCTAATATATATGCAATAAAAAGTATGTAACACTGGTATGAAGGTATTTTTGTGTCTTTTTAATGCAAGCAAATTTATCGCTCTGCAATCAAAAATCAGATGTGTAATTATAAATACATAGGCCTTTTTGTGTCAGCATTTTAATTGCTATGTCCTCTTTGATTTCAAGTCAAAAGGTTTTCCTTCGAGTCAGAAAGTTTTGCAGGTTAAACCGCTTTGCAAGTGAGAGAGTTTTGTAAGCCCAAAAGTTTTGCGAGTCAAAAGCAAAAATCAAAATAAGACATTCTATTGGTGGGTTTGACTGACCCATCATGGGTTTGCATTGACCGCATGGTCACGCTCATAATCCCCTCGATCCGACCAGCAGTCAGCTCTAGAGACTGAGGTGACGCTATGTCGCTCATTTCAACAGAAATGCTTTTAAATGTAGTATGGTATCTACTGCTGACTCAAAATTCCTCAAGGTGTCGTGCCAACAAGTGACTGTCCGCCGAAAAAACTGTTTGGTAGGCATATGTGTAATATCTTTGATTATATTTGGAAAAGGGGCTGTAGCCTAATTAACCTTACTGCCAACATAGATATAAAATGAAGACAATTTTGCAATTATCCTTATGACTCTGCATTATTTTACTTGCTGTGTAGGCCTATTAACCAATCTACTCTTTTTTTTTTTTTTTTACCTCTTAAAATACCTTTTAAATGGCCAATACAACCCATAAAATGCAGTAGGCTATTTCACTTGCCAGAAAGTGATTGAAGAGACTGTGCAATACAGCTCCAGCAGACGGCAATCGGCGGACGATCGCTGACATTCATCATGAACTTTGGCTTTAAAACTTCATACAACAAGACCCAAACAAAGAAGCGGTGAACGCAAAATAGGTAACCTGTGGTGAGTAAACATGTTCAGCTCAGCATTGGCCATCTAACGTTAGCTTGCTTCTTGCTTTAGCTACGACCGACCGGAGGTTGACCCCGACTGTCGTTCATTATGAAACGATAAATGAGCGTTTATTTGCTTGCCAAACTTGTGGTGGTCGATTAACGTAATAATTTACTCGCTGCCATCACGTTAATTATTACCGTTGGCAGAAAACAGGTTACAGGTTTATTGTTGATCATGTAACGTTACCGTTTTATTTAGTTAACGTTACACTGGGTTTGAGAGTGAGGGGAATGTGTTGACTTACAGTAGTTAATAAGCTGTCATTAATTGCATTGCACATTACATGGCTGTGCTCTGTAAGTGAAAAACAGGTTACAGTTAGGGAATCCCTTATAGCTATCCAGTTTTATAAGCAGCAGGTGATAGAACATCCATTAGCCTATAACCGCACGAGACTTGACTTGGACTCTTGCTCAGAGACTTGACTTGGACTCGAGCATCTCTGATTGGTGCACTCAGACATGACTATCTAGGCTAAGGTAAGCTATGTAATGTTTAACACAATGTACATGATATCCAGCAAAACTGCTTTTCTGTGAATGTGGTAATTGAAGTTAACAGGCACACAACATAAACTAGACTTTAGACCGCTGATATTACATTGAAAATATAGACTGTTATCTAGATATTTTGAGGTGTTGCTGCCTTGTTACATTTTCTTCTTTAGATGTAACATAGAAGCATTTATTACACTCATTTATTTTCCTCCTATAGTTGCAGTGTGGATCATTGGTGACAGCTATGTACAGCATGGTGGCCAGAGAGCTTTGGAAGCATCTTCACCCTGCCAGATGTCTCTTGGTCTGGCTTGCTTCTCCCCTTCTTTGCCCCTCCCTGTGACTGTGGCGGCAGCAGCATGGGGAACGTCAGCAGCAGGAAGCTGGTCAACATGATGGAGGACCTGCACCAGCTTTACCTCCAGCACTCTGGCCTGAAGATCCTCTTTTTGTCTGTGACCCAGAGTGTTGGTGGAATGCTGGTGCCAGTCAATGAACAGTGTTATGGCTCTATTTGTTTTAGCTTAAATGATGCCATGATTGAGAACCTTGCATCAGACATGGCAGTCCTGGGTTATATTAAAATGTGTGTGTGTGTGTGTGTGTGTATGTATATATATATGTATATATATAGTTAATTTCACAACTAGGGCAAATTATGTTTTAAGTACAGTAGCTAATTGTATTGAATTTGGCCTTTAGGACCCATTTTCTTGTGCCTAAACATAGCTGACCGTCATGGCTAATGTTGTTTATTTATGCTGCACCCCAAGGACCCCTAAGTACTCTGGACCTATGCGGGACATACAGTAGCTGTTACCACTTGCACAGGCCCAGTTTGTTTATTTGAATAAATGTGTTTACTATATGTCCACATTTGTGAACATTTAAAAGACCCCACATGGTTTACATTGCAATAAAATTGATTTATATATTTGCACTCATTTTGTCATTAATACTGACTGGAAATGTTAGATTTCACATTCTGATATACTGTAAGTCTAGTACAAACACACAGGAACATGTGCACATCCAACAAATCTGTGGACATAGAATGAAAGGGCTCAGAATGAAAAAATAAGAATGACCTGCACACTGAGTAATTGAATCCCACTAAGCAGTATCATTTATTGCAATGTCTCAAACTCTGAGGTCTTCTCAGGCAAATACACAGGTATTGTGAAGCTTATACAGTGAGGCAAAAAGAAACAAGCTGATCAATAGGTGCTTTCTATCAGTTGATTTAGTTTTTTTCCTTTTACCTCACTAAACAGTTAAAGCCTCAATACCTGTGCAATACCTATAATACTTCTCTGAGGTTGCAGCTTCAAAACTATTCATTGTGCAGATTATTCTTTGTTGAGTAAAACTTCTCGGTGAATTTCACACTTGTCTCTTGCTTTCCATTTTTAGAGATGCAAAATGTTAACCTATAAATACCATCTCATTATTTTCATTCTATTAACCATCATATTTTGTGAAAAGTTTAGATCACTACTATATTTCAAATTAACATAGGGAACTGATGATTAGTCTTGCCTGATTTTATATAACAAAAATGATTACATTACACAAGAAACAGTTAAATAAATTAAAATCATATCCTGCATTCATGAAAACGTCATTAAAAAGGTTACAAATGTTAAAGTTGTTTAGTATGACTTGAAATAATGTACAGTTAATACACTTAAATAAATGAAATAATGTGTCACATTTGTAACAGTAATTATAATAATGGAACCTATGGATAAGAAGCCAGTGTCATAATTTTAAATTTTAAATAAGTAGTGTTCACATACTGTGGGATAAGGTGTTGTGGAGTAAAAATAAAAACAAAGGTTCAGGAAAGTACTATGGTGCTCTCAGGGAAGAGAGTGAGCCACGATGGAAGGTGGGACTTTTATATCCTGTAGGGCACTGGGCCCAGGCCCTCCTCCTCTGGTAGAAGTAGACTAAGCAGGGTCCTACATGACAGACAGACAACAGGTTAGAAATACGTGCAGCCGGAGAGCGTAGACACAAAATAAGAAGCACCTGTCACACACTTACTACAGCCCAAGAGATGCCCAGCAGGGTGAAGATGCTTCCAAAGCTCTCTGCAGCTCTCTGGCCACCATGCTGTACATAGCTGTCACCAATGATCCACACTGCAACTATGGGAGGAAAATAAATGAGTGTAATAAATGCTTCTATGTCACATCTAAAGGAGAAAACGTAACAAGGCAGCAACACCTCAATATATCTAGATAACAGTCGAGTGGATTGTGGGTGTGGCCATGCGGTCAATGCAAAACCATGGTCTGTCAAACCCACCTATAGAATCTCTTATTTCGACCATTTTTGACTCGCAAAACTTTTCGACTTGCAAAACGGTTTAACCTGCAAAACTTTCTGACTCGCAAAGAAAACCTTTTGACTTACAAAACTTAATAACTTGCAAAACGTTCTGACTCGCATGGAAATCTTTTTGACTTGAAATCAAAGAGGACATAGTGGCAATTAAAACTTTTTGTGACACAAAAAAGGCCTGTTTATTTTTAATTAAAACTTGATTTTTGATGCAATGAATATGCTCCCAAAACATTTTTTTTGCTTGCATTAAAAAGACACAAAAATTCCTTCATACTGGCAGCTAGGCTGTGCAGTGAGTAAACTTTGCCTTAAGAGATGGACTAGTGACCGATGCTAGAGCCCATGGGTTAGCCTCCTCGCTAGTGCGTCCCATAGACTGTGGGTAGGTCCGCATTGAGGCCAGTGGGAACGCAGGAATGTTGTCATGAAAAAATAATGTTCAAACTTTTATCGCAAATCCGTCTAAGTTAATATTTGTCTAGATAATTTAGTCTGGACCTAAATGGTGGATAGACCTAGGAGCACTGCCCTGGAGCCCTGCTGCTAGCATAGCTAAAAACTAACTTAACATCTCAAATTACATACAGATAAGCCTGTCTAGTGGAACGCCCATAGACAATGAGTGTATGTGCGTTAGAGAGTAGATAAAGCATGCTTGTCAATATTAGCTCGGACAGGGATGTGACAAAAGGCTTGGTGTTAAATTCCAACTGCCATGGAACGTTGCCAGTAGGGGTTGCTGTAGCAACAAAATGTTCAACTAAAACTTACTGCTGGTTGTAGAGGTTCTAGTCGATAAAGATATTTGAAGGTTGATAATGGCTCTTATTTATTTCTGCCAATAACCATTACCACCCACAGATAAATTCCATGTTTAAATACTTGAAAATCCTAATCCTGGTTGTAAGAAAACTAGCAGCATGAAATAGCATGTAGACCATCATGGGGGACGCTCCTCCACAGAAGCCGCACTCTTGAAACTGGGTGAAATTAGGAGGTGTTTAAGACAAGCTGACTCGCCCCACCCATTTAGTGTGAAACTCTGAGATACACTTTTCCCCTTAGGTTGTTAATCTACAAAACATGGATGACTTTGCAAACTCAGGCTTGTAAACATGTAGCCTATGATGCTTATAGCATACCTTTCTGTATGCTGATAATAACACTGATATGTTATTGAATTTCATATTATTAATAATAATAATAATAATAATGATCTTTATTTGTAGAGCACTTTTCAAAAACAAGTTACAAAGTGCTTTAACAAGTGTAAAGACAATAATACCCAAAAGACAATAATACAAAAACAATACAAGATAAAAGCATGAAAACATTGAAAAGACTAAAATACACATTTAAGATAAATATAAAATTAGTAAAATAGAATGAAATAAAAGGGATACAATAAAGTCAAATAAGATCGGGAAAGGCTCTCCTATAAAAGTATGTTTTAAGAAGGGACTTAAAAGAGTTCACTGACTCAGCTGACTTGATTTCCTCGGGCAGGCTGTTCCAGAGCCTCGGGGCCCTGACAGCAAACGCTCTGTCCCCTTTAGTTTTCAGTCGAGACTCTGGAACAGACAACAGACCTCTGCCCGAGGATCTCAAGGTACGTGCTGGTGTGTATGTCAGTCTGGAGTTGATCAATAGATTTTTGGGTTAAACAGGTGAAAAGACTGTTGCAATAAATGATGATGATGATGAAGGCGTGTAAAATGGTCTCGGTGTCCTTAAAGGTTAACATAGATCGAATTTTTGCTATATTTCTAAGTTGATAAAAACATGATTGAACAAGCTTTGTGGTGTGCTGCTCGAAATTTAAATTACTATCAAACCAAACACCAAGGTTCTTTGCCACAGGCTTAATGTGATTTACTAGGGAACCAGCAGATGGCAGTATTTGTTTTGCCATCTGCTGGGACCCGATGACCAGGATTTCTGTTTTGTCTGAGTTCAGCTGGAGGAAATTATTTGACATCCATTTTTTAACTTCACAAAGGCAGTTATTAAGTGAACTCAGCATTCCAGGGTCTGTGGATCTGACAGGCAAGTATATTTGTGTGTCATCAGCATAAATATGAAAAGAAATGCCATGTTTATGGATAATACGTCCAAGGGGAAGCAGATACAAGGAAAACAAAATGGGTCCTAAGACCGACCCCTGAGGCACACCATATTTAACTGGGGCAGAACAAAGAGACATAGTTTTTTACAGACACGCAAAACTTCCTATTTGACAGGTAGGATGAAAACCATTCTAGGGGCAGTACCAGAGATCCCCACCCAGTGCCTCAGTCTGTCTAACATGATGTTGTGATCAATGGTGTCAAAAGCAGCACTAAAGTCCAGGAGTACCCAGACTGAGCACATACATTCATCAGCAGACATTAAAAGGTCGTTGGTGACTTTAAGCAGGGCAGTCTCAGTGTGCGGAAAACTTATTTTCCAGTACAGTGAGCAGCTGTTTGGACACAATTCTTTCTAAAATCTTTGCAATAAAAGGCAGTTTTGAAATTGGTCTAAAGTTTTGTGGGAGGGAGGGATCTAAACCAGGTTTCTTTAAAAGTGGGTTCACGCAAGCCGTTTTAAAATAATCAGGGACACAACCAGTAGATAGGGAGCTGTTGAAAACAGAGATCAAATGGGGCCCAACAGAATTTATTACTTTCAGTAAAAACTTTGTAGGTATTACATCAAGTGGGCTGGAGGACGCTCTCATTTGTGATACTGTTTTTAAAAGCTCAGACAAGTCGATGGGATAAAACTGGTTAAAACTCTCTTGTTGCTGGTGAGGAACCTCTGAGTAAGAGGCCGCGGGGGTAATAGAGGCTCTGATTGACACCACCTTATTGGTAAAATAAGATAAAAACAATTCACAGTCATCATTACTTCCAGCTGAGGCACAAGAAGGGGTTGGGTTTACCAGCTGATCCACAGTCTTAAACAGAAACCTGGGATTGTGTTTATGTGTAGTAATGAGTTCAGAAAAATAGTGTGTTCTCGCATCCTTAACCATGTTATTGTAGTTAATTAATAAATCCTTCAGACTGAGGTAATGGACTTGGAGATTGGATTTTTTCCATGTTGAAGCTGATGACCTTCCACAAATTATCCACTGAAACTTGAAATTAGCAGGTGTTAAAAACTAGTTGACCCGCCCTTGACCCGTTCAGTGTGAAACTCTGAGATAGGCTACACTTCACCTTTACCTTGTTAATTTACAAAAAACATGGGTGGCTTTACAGCAAGCTCAGGCTTGTAAACATAGGCTGTATGATGCTAATATCCTACCATTCTGAATTCTGATAATAGTACTGATTTCGTAGGCTATTGAAGCTGATGTTACTTTACCCCCAATAGCCTGTTCATGATGCTTGCACCTGGGAGGGATCGTGTATGTTGGCTTTTGCACCAGTTCTTGAACAGTTTGTCTGAGGTCAAAATTCATCCTGCGTTTCAGGAGAGAGGTGTCACTTAGGCACAGGCAAAAGGACCCTGCAAGAAGCTGCATTTTCTTAGTGAAAGAGCGCTGAAATATACAGGAGCTTTGATACCAGAGACAGAACCTGACATCAAGCCTCT